CCAAGAAGGATGTGGTGTGTTTCTGGATCGTACTGCTCCTGTGCCAAGAGCTACGGACCGACCCGATCGCAGAGATGGGACCATCCTCCGGCATCCTGATTCAAGAGACACCAGGGTTCATCTTGACAGAGAAGAGGATCCTGACCCGACGTGTGTTCGTCAGCTTGGATCCCAAGATTTCCATCGAGAAGGCATACAACATTTTATCGATGCAGCTTCCTGAGTTACAGACTTGGTACCAGATGCACCTCCAAAAAGCGCAGGACCGTGTGCGAAACATCTTGGAGCAAGCCCGGAAACCATTTGTATCCAGTTCTATTCCGATGAGCAACCGACCCAAAAGGTTCCTCACCGCTATAATTGTTGCATTAGTTTGTGCCACTGTCGGTGCAGTTGTCGCAACTGGAATGTCTGCAGCCAACTCTATTACTGTCCAAAAGCTGGATATGGAAATCTATGCGCTAAAGCAACACATTAACAATATTTATCAGGTGATAAACCAGCAAAGAACACTTCTCCAAGACGTGTTAACTATTGTGGAAGACACAGTTGTTACAACAAATTTGCATTCGGAGTTAATTGCCAAATCCACTGAGTTGCACCAAAGTCATGACTTATTTAAGCGTGAACTTCTATTTCTGCATGACCCAATTTTGTTCCACACACTTGCTTTTCTTGACGAAGTGCAAACTGGAATGATCGAATTGGCAGGGGGACGCATAGCTCTGTACTTTGTATCCAAGGATATTGTTCATGCGATGCTTGCCAATGTGGATGGAGAAACAATTGAGCCTATGCAATGAAATCTGGCCTTTGAGATGGGGAGCGCTATACCTCTCTTAATTGATCCGGAACGTATGGAGATTTGCTTTTTATTGGCCATACCATATGTAACTCCCAAAAACATTTTTCAAATGAAAACAATCTACAATGTCGGTACATGGAAGGAAAATAGCCACGTAAAAGTCCAAACCCCAGATGTTTTGGCTTTTCAACCGTGGATACCAGATTGGTATTCAATACCCATTTTGAATGACTGTGTGAAATTCAAAGACAATAATTTCCAATGTGATGGAAAACCTTTTGTGTACGATTCTACCAATGCTTTGTGTGGGATCGAGTACCTTAAACATGGCTCTGAAACAAGTAACTATGTCAAAAACCGACAGTAATGCGTTAGTACATGCTATCTTAGTAAAAGATAAATGGTTGGTAAGCACGTGTCTTAAAAACATAAGTGTTTTTCGCAGGGACCAGGTGACTAATAAAGTAATTGCCTTACCAGCACCTGTCTCACTGATCAAGGTACTCCACGACTCTCGTATCACCATCGGTGACGTTACGCTATACCCAGTGTACACTGACATCATCGAAAGTGCTATTGAGATGGTGGATCCCTTCCAGAATCTAGATATCCCTCTAGATCCTAATCTAAAGTTCTTGCTGGACCATAAGCCCAACCACACTATCCAAATGTCAATCAGAAAAGATAACATTTCTGTGGATACATTTAAATACTCTGAGCTAGATACTGACCTTATTGCTTGTGTTGACTGGTTCATCCATGTTAAGATTGTTATTGGGTGTGCTATGATAATAATGATATTATGGTTGATTGTACTAAGTGTAAAGTTCAAAACTATTACAGGTACAAATATATACAAAAATGTTCATTCCACGTACGGGCCTATGTTATAAAAGATGTGATTGCACAATATGTCTGGTAACTTCTATAGTGCTTATTCATAAGCTAAATTAATTTTGGCTCCGAAATGCACTAAAGGGGGGTTATGTCAGGGTATTTATATCGGCAGACATCTTGTGCTATGATAGAAATTAAAAGTGTATATTCTGAGTCACTCTGAACAGACCAGACTCCATTTTGTTATTTTCAAGTTAACAAAGAGACACGAAATTTCTATCCTATCTGTAAAACTAACCACTTTCCCAGAGCTAAAGGAATGCATAGTATATACAAAGGAGAACGGGGGTTGGATAGACTGTCTAAATGCTAATGGAATAGATCAATTCTAAACCCAGACATTGGTGACAGAGAAGATTAAATAATAAAATTTTACTTTCTATATGTATAAGGTCCCATTGTAAGTTACGGGTCAAAACTCAGAATTTGCCAGACACATAGTCTGGACAAAACTTAAAGAAACTGTTTGAAATGAAAGCAAACGTAAGTTATGGCCACGATAAAGATAAAGCAAAATGACGTCAAAATAGCCACCAAGAAAAGTTAACTCTTTCCTGGATAGGTATGTTTAGTGGGACAAGACCAAATAACTAAATTGCGATCCCTAGATAACCACACCCCCAGTGTTGCTATTGGTTTACCAACTAGTGAATTTTCCCTTTAAAAGTTAAGACAAAGAGGGGGAAGAGGTAGACGAGGAATGCGAGGGTATGCAAAGAAAGCAAAGAAGTGAGCAGTCGGAAGCAATGCAGAGAGGCCTATGACAGATATCCACTCTAGGACACTCAAAAATTCCTACACACTTCCTGGCAGAGAGACATCCAAATAAGTTCCTGAGACTATCTACCAATCGGATGAAATATCTACTCAACTGGTAATTATACTGGTTTCATTTAATTAATTTAAATTAATTAAAATGTACTAATAGCATGATATATGACTGGATAAATCACGGTCAGATTTCCATATTAAGAAATCTTAGTTAACTAAAGAATATATAGTTATAAACATTCCATTCTGCAGGTGGAATTAAGAATAATTATATATTAATGTGATAGTATCACGTGTTAGCATACCGCTGTTTTTATCCAGGTGTATTGATTTGCTCTAATATAAGATAAGATATCTTTTAGACGAATTAAAATTCTGCTTTTGTAAAAATCATGGTAGATTCTCTTATTGGATGGTTCCAGGAAATGACTAATGAACTGGTTTAAATGTTATTTTATTTAAAATTACATAAGAATAGATCTTAATTACCTAGGAGATCTAGCCAGCATTGAAAGGGTTATTCAGTTATTCTAACTGTTAGCCAGGGTTTTATGGCCCTTCGCTGTGAAAAGCTTTACTTTCAGTCTGTAAGGATACCTCATAAATCGTGTAAGTCTTGACTTGAAAATGCTGTTTAGCCATTGAAACGTGTATACCTATTCCATTGTATTGCATATCATTTTATACTGGATATTCATTGATTATTGTCACGCATGTTACATACTATTATTTGTTAATTAATTGTTATTATAAAATTTAAATCTATTTTTATAACAAAATTGTGATTTTAATTATATGAAATATTTTTCACTTAACACGATAACGATCTTTGGGATCTGAGAATTGAATTAGTGGGCAATTCTCACTGTTCACTATTATTATCCCCAAAAATATCCCCACACTACTCAGAAGAAGTGGCTGCTCTGCTTGATTCTCGTTTTTCTCGGGGTTGGTTGCAGTATCTGGTTGATTGGAAGGGTTTCGGCCCTGAGGAGTGGTCCTGGGTTTCTGCCTCTGACTTGAATGCGCCCTCTTTGATCCGCTCCTTTCATGCGCGGTCCCCTTTGAAGCCTTCGGCTTCCGGGCCTCGAGGGGGGGGTTATGTCAGGGATCCGCGGGCGGCTAGGAGGGGAGGCTGCACGCCACTTGTAGCACTCACCCTCAGTCCGTCGCCGCCCGCGGTCTCCCTTCCGCTTACCTGTCGGCGAGCGGCACCTCCTCTCTGCCGCTCGCGTCCTCCACGCCCCCCAGCGGCAGCATGTATAACGCTGCATGCTGGGAGGTCACTGAATTATGTAAACGCCGGGGTCACGTGAGTGACCCGGCGTTAAAGGAACAGTACCACAATCACAGTGGGAGGTATAGATATCCCCCACGTGTGATTGTTAATTCTGATTGGAAGTTATCCAATCAGAATTAAATCAAGGGTATTTATACTTACCTTTCCTGTCCCTCAGTGCCCTGTTGTGGTCTTGTGATACCTGTAGCGTAGTGTTCTCGTCTTGCTCTCTGGTTACTGATTATTTGGCTTGTTATTCCGATTATCCTGTCTTCTCCACTCCTTTGACCTCGGCTTGTTTCTCGTTCTCCCGTTTTCTGGCTCCCTTTACTTGGCTTGTCTCCTGACTATTTTTAGCGTGCTTAGCCCGGCCACTCTAAGGACCGGTATAGCACCCTTCCTCTCTGTGACCTGTTAGCGTGTTAGGTTCCGGAATCGTGACAAAATCTCTGACATCCTTCTTGTAGGAAGGCAACCAAAATTGCTTTTCAAGGAGGGACTCAGTTTTATGGATACCGGGATGGCCATCTATTTTATAATTGTGCATCAAGGACAAGACCTTTTCCCTATGAACAAGAAGCACATATAATTTCCCCCGGGGAATGGGTAAAGAGGATTGATGCTGGAGTTTGGATAATTCCTCCAGTAAGTCAGAGGAGATTTTAGCTTGGATGGTGGCTACAATGCGTTCGGCTGGTATTATGGAAGATTTTTGGGTCTCGGTAGAGGATTGTGGTTCATATTGTCAGGACAAGGCATCAGCCTTAATATTCCTTGATCCAGGTCGATATGTCACTATGTAATTAAAACGTGTTAAAAACAAGGACCAACGAACCTGTCTGTCTGTCATTCTTTTAGCTTCTCTGAAATAGGAGAGGTTCTTATTATCAGTAAGTATGGTAATTGGTATAACAGACCCCTCTAACACATGTCGCCACTCCTTGATGGCCGAAATGATTGCCAACAATTCTCTGTCCCCTATGTCATACCTTTTTCTGCCTCTGTCAATTTTCTCGAATAAAAACCGCAGGGATTTAAAGGTAGATCATCTGAGGGCCTTTGGGATAATACCACCCCTATACCAGTCTCAGATGCGTCCACCTCGAGTAGGAAAGAACGAGAAGGATCGGGATGTCTTAATATAGGTGCTGATGAAAAGGCTTTCTTTAACGCCTCAAAAGCAGCCCTAGCTTCTGGACTCCAATCTAGATGATTTCTTCCCTTTTTTGTCATGGACGTGATAGGAGCATGGCAGAGTTCAGGGAGGTAGAGACAGTAGCTGGAGTCCCCCAAACTGTTATATTGTGTGGCTGCCCTCCAGGTCCAGGGTCCAGCAGGAACTTGCATCCTCTGCCTGCAGATTTTGCTCTGTGTATCCAGGGAGGGGGCTCGATATCTAGGGGAGTGATGTTTCCTCCAGGAGCACAGCCTGCGCTTTGTTACTCGAGACGATTTAATGCTCCGTTGAGTCCGGCTTCTTTGGGTACCAGCATTGCTCAGAGGTGATGTCACAAAAGCAGGCCATGAAGTTTGACTCTGCTTCTCCTTTACTTTCCTCCAAAACCACTGACATATCAGTTCAAACTCCCTCTGGAATCTAGCCTCCCAGCTGCTGACCGACACTTGTGCACTGTGCAGTATAGCCGCGTTGGCGGCCATTTCAGGCAGACCACGTGGAAGTTGCCTGTGCTGCGTTCATTCAGGAGCGACTCTGAGGAGAGTGGAGACTTGGTGGGGTCCGGGATAACCCCCACCGAACCATAGGGGGGGGGAAGTACAGGGCACTTGTTGTGCACATATTAGCCTGGCTAGGTCAGGGTCGGAAGATCGGCCGCCTCCTCCGCCAATATCCCAGAATAGGCAGTAAATGTCTTTTGCCGTCCAGAACGAGCTGTTGGTGAGTCAAGAAGTGTCTGTAGTACAGAGAGAAGACCTAGGATTGATGGGTGTAATTTAGATGCTTTTAAGGGGGAAAAAGCATTAAGTCTGGGCTATTTAGTGAGTAAAACTCAGGAGCCGATGTGACCAGCTTCCGCTCGGCCCGCCCCCTGCTAGATGGTGTTTTTAACACTATAGGGTCAGAAATACACGTTTGTGTTCTTGACCCTATAGTGTTCCTTTAAGGTTATGCTTCTACTATGCATTGAAGTGGATATTGACATGTATTCAGATAATCAATTTCTCTTTCACTGATACTGACTGACATCTATTTGGATACAAAGTTTTACTTATGTATTGAAGTGCAAATATTACAAGAGACTAAATAAAAATATTGGTGTATTTTTAAACTTTCTTTTAAAGTGTTTTATTTGTATCAATATTGATTTTAGTGCTGACATTAAAGGAGCACTATATTGTCAGGAAAACTCCTTCAGCCACTTACCTTTCTCCAGTGCCGGGCTCCCCCTGTGCTGGGGAAATCTCCACCCCCTGACAGCGTCAGATCCGAATGTGCATGCACGGCAAGAGCTGCGCGCGCATTCAAACAGCCCATATGAAAGCATTACTCAATGCTTTCCTGTGGACGTCCAGCGTCTTCTCACTGTGATTTTCACAGTGAGACTCGTGGAAGCACCTCTAACGGCTGTCAGTGAGACAGCCACTAGAGGCTGGATTAACCCTCAGTGAAACATTGCAGTTTCTCTGAAACTGCTATGTTTTCACCTGCAGGTTTAAAACTAGAGGGACTAGTGGGTGCCTATAGTGGTCTTTTAATTTACATTATTTTCACAAATATTTAAGCCTGTTAAAGATGATGGCGTGGAAAGGAGTTTTTCACAAGAGATCAGTAGACAGATTTTCTGAATATTAGAGCGGTGAAAGTGACGGACAAAAGTAGCAGAGGATACATCTTTGTTACAGAGTACTGAGGGGGTCTGCGTTGACACCAAGATTGCAATGTGTGATGGGGAAGCTGGTCAGGTGGATAAAGAGCAGAAAAGGATTAAAATTTACAGGACCTTAGGTAGGTTACCAGCCCCCCCCCCCCTCATTTGTCGCATAGAGGTGGTTAATGGGACTGGGCAAATTCATGGTTGCAAGACCCCTTTCTAAGTCCTGTGCCATCAGCTATTTTTTTACCAGCCCAATTACAAATTGTGCCTACTGCCTCAATCTTGCAATAATCTGCTAACAGATATCTCAACCCACATTCCAAATTTGTAATCTATGCAGAAATGGTGTAAGCAAGTGACCCAAGGTGCATAATTAATAATCTTACCCTCCCCATTTTGGCAGAGCAGGATCGTTCCTGTTACTGAGACTTGTTGTGTTATTCTTGTTTAATTTTAGAACACGAGGAAAAGGTCTAATGCAGAGGTGCCCAAAAGGTAGAGCCCCAGATGTTGAAAAACTACAACTCCCTTAATGCTTTGCATGCTTTTGAATAACAAAGCTTCATGGAAGCTGTAGTTTTTTTTTAATATTTTCATAGCTACATAGCTGAACAGAGACTTGCATCCATCAAGTTCAGCCTTCCTCACATATGTTTTTGCTGTTGATCCAAAAGAGGGCAAAAAGCCTAGTCTGAAGTGCTTCCAATTTTGCTACAAACTAGGAAAGAATTCCTTCTTGACCCCAAAATAGCAGTCAGGTGTCTCCTTGGATCAAGCTGTTATTACCCCACTAATTAGAAATTATATCCCTGTATGTTATGTTTTTGCAACTATTTATCCAATTGCAGTTTAAACATCTGCATATACTCTGATAAAACCACATTTTCAGGCAGAGAATTCCATATCTTTATTGCTCTTAGTGTAACAAAACCCTTTCTGTGTAACAAAACCCTTTCTTTGCCTTAAATTAAATCTCCTTTCTTCCAGCCTAAATGTGTGACCTTGTGTCCTATGTATAGCCCTGTTTATGAATAGATTTCCAGATAATGGTTTGTACTGGCCTCAAATATATTTGTATAACGTTATCATATTCCCTCTCAGGCGCTGTTTTTCCAAACTAAAGCGATTTACATTTTTTAACCTGTCTTCGTAACTAAAATGCCCCATTCCTTTTATCAATTTTGTAGCTCGTCTCTGCACTTTTTCTAGTGTCAAGATATCCTTCTTTAGAATAGGTGCCCAAAATTGCACAGCATATTCAAGGTGTGGTCTTACCAGCGATTTATAAAGAGGCAAAATTATATTTTCAGACCGAGAATTTATGCCCCTATTTATACATGACAAAACCTTACTGGCCTTAGCAACTGCAGATTGACATTGCATATATGACCCCAAAGTGCATAACTTTGCATTTCTCTATGTTAAATTTCATCTGTCATTTTAGTGCCCAGTCCCCCAATCTATCCAAATCCCTCTGCAGCAAAACAATATCCTGCTCACATTTTTTACTTTACAAAGTTTTGTGTCATCTGCAAACACTGATACATGGCTTTCAATGCCTATTTCAAGATCATTTATACATATGTTAAATAGAAGCGGTCCAAAAACAGAACCCTGGGGGACAATACTTACCACTTTTGTCCAGCCTGAAAATTTACCATTAATGACAACTCGTTGTCAGGGCCATTCGAAGGAATTTGGGGGCCCCAAGCAAACTGTACATGGAGGCCCCCCAATCCCTGCTTCTCCTCACCTCCCCCTTCCGTGTTCTCCTCATCTCCTCACCCCCCTCTCCCTGTGTTCTTCTTACTCCTTCCCCCCTCCCTGTGTTCTTCTTACTCCTTCCCCCCTCCCTATGTTCTTCTTACTGCCCCATGTTCTTCTTACTCCCCTCCACCTCCCTGTGTCCTTCTTACTCCCCCTCCTGTATCCTTCCTACTCCCTCCCTGTGTCCTTCTTACTCCCTCCCCATGTCCTTACTCCCCCTGTGTCCTTCTTACTCCCCTCCCTATGTTCTTTTTACTCCCCCCATGTTTTTTTTACTCCCCCCCCTAACCCTCCCAATGTATTTTTACTCACCCCATGTTTTTTTTAGGGAATGCTGGGGGGGTTCCTGTTTCTCCCTGGTGGTCCAGTGGCTGATGGGCTGGCTACTGGGCGTTTTTTGCCACCCCCTGAAAAATGCCGCCCAAGGCAAATGCCTTGTTTGCCTCGCGGCTAATACGTCCCTGAGTGTGGCTGAGCTCCTCTTCCTCCTGGCTGTCAGTCCGGCCGGGTACCGCACAGTACAGGAGATTCAGTTTCCTGTTCCCGGCTGGACTGAAAGGAAGTGAGCACTCAGTGTGCACTTCCTGTCAGTCCGGATGGGAACAGGAAACTGAATCTCCTGTACCGCACAGTACCCGGCCGGACTGACAGCCAGGAGGAAGAGAAGAGGAGCTCGGCCACGCTACAGGGAAGGTGAGGTGACGAGAGAGGAGTACTGCAGCCACCTAAGGCTCTCTATAGAGCGCTCAGGCGGCTGCAGCCTTACAGGAAGCACCGGCTCTGCTTGGGACCCTGGGCCAGCTCGGGGCCCCAAGCAATTGCTTGGTTTGACTGCCCGGTAGCGACGGGCCTGCTCGTTGTACTCTATCCTTAAGCCAATGTTCTACCCAAGAACAAGAATATTCATCTAGACCAATTTGTTTTACTTTGAAGACTAACCTATTGTGAGGAAACGTATCAAATGCTTTGGCAAAATCCAAGTAGATCACATCCACTGCCACACCCTGATCTATACTTCTATTTACTTCTTAAAGGACCACTATAGTGCCAGGAAAACATACTCGTTTTCCTGGCACTATAGTGCCCTGAGGGTGCCCCCACCCTCAGGGTCCCCCTCCCGCCTGGCTCTGGAAGGGGGAAAGGGGTAAAAACTTACCTTATTCCAGCGCTGGGCTGGGAGCTCTCCTCCCTCGATCCTCCTTCTCTCCTCCCCGTCAGCTGAATGCGCACGCGCGGCAAGAGCTGCGCGCGCATTCAGCCGGTCGCATAGGAAAGCATTATCAATGCTTTCCTATGGACGCTTGCGTGCTCTCACTGTGAAAATCACAGTGAGAAGCACGCAAGCGCCTCTAGTGGCTGTCAATGAGACAGCCACTAGAGGAAATAGGGGAAGGCTTAACCCATTCATAAACATAGCAGTTTCTCTGAAACTGCTATGTTTATGAAAAAATGGGTTAACCCTAGCTGGACCAGGCACCCAGACCACTTCATTAAGCTGAAGTGGTCTGGGTGCCTAGAGTGGTCCTTTAAGTATTTTCAAGACATGACAATGGAAATAATAAGAATACATTTCATGTCACAAGAGAATAGTAACATAGGGAAGAAAAACAAAAAGCTGTGTTTACAAGTTTACAGAGTGTCCATACAATAAAAGTATGTGGAGAAAGATTGTTACATGGCAATTGTCACATTAGCATGCCATTGAACATGCTGCATATTCCCCAGAAGAAAAGAAAGCGTCAGGATAAGGGAAACAAACTCGATTTTGCCCAATATTGTGATGTACAGTAGAACATATCAATATTTCGTATATATAAACTTCTTTGTTCATAACAGATGGATATAGATGTACAAATAGGCATAGTTATAAATATTGTGAAGGCAGAGAGGCATAGGACATTTAACCCCAGGGGGAGTATGTGTTGTATGCAACACAAATTAATGTTTAGTTATGGGCCCCTGGGGTGGAGCATTTGGAGAGTAGGTCAGGCCGGTGCTCCACTCCTCAGTTTATATACAACTGGGAGAAATAAGGTCTAGGCCAGGGTTTTGGACTGTCTCCAACCCACTGCTCAGCTGCAGGTAATCAGCTGCAGCAGTGGGAATAAACCCCTCCCTACTAGGCAGGTAAAGGGGGATTGCTGGCTTCCTCCCTGGAAGCAGATAGGAGAGACGGTGTTCTCTCCTGTGAGAGAGTCAAGATTTAAGGTGATTGAGCACTAGGAGTGCAGAAGGATAACAGTCAAATTGACTGGAGTGCAGTGTTGCTATTTAACAAAGTTAATGAAACCTATGATGATAGAGAGGGAAATTGAAAGTTAGTCAGTGCTCAGATGAGCTAGGATTTTGTTTAAAGGTAAACCTGTTACATTATTGTTTCTTTAGGTGTGTTGCTGTCTCCTGTGTGGATTTATCAATAAAGTCCCTGAATTATGTGAAAACCAAAGGACTTGTTTACCCTAGAGGATCGTGCTAACTGCAAACAAGGATCACAATATAATCATATATAAAGAAAACCAACAGCTAAAATTAAGATAGAGAGGGGGGAGGGTGTTAGAAAGTTGTGCGAAATTTAATCTTAAATCTATAATAATTTACGGAATAAGATGGGAAGCTGTAGTTTTAAAACATCTGGGGATCTACCTTTTGGGCACCTCTGGCCTAAAGCTAAAACTGTATAATGAATACCCAGTATACCATAACCCTAATTCCCTCCCCTTCAGCTGCTACTTCCTAATGATTTCACTAGAGGACAAATCCAATGCAAAACATCTGCTTATCTTGCAGTTTATAAAATAGTAACAGAGGGATAGGCCTTAGCTTCAAAACAAGTTGAAATTCCAGGCCTATTATATTCTTGCAAATTAATGTTTTACAAGCTTAACTTATCACACTGCATTACTGTACTGGGATATAGGCTGTGTCTATATTATAGCTGTGCCTTTAATGGGACGGCATTTGCAGTCACTGTAAAGTAATTTAACTGGTTCTGCAAGCAACTCATTAACACTCAGAGGATTGAGTTCAGCAGAACTGAGAAGAACAGAAAGTACGAAGGCTTCAGTGGTATGTACTGCTGGACTAATATATTCTGTAAAATGCTTTGTAAACTATTAGCACTCAGTTACATAATTTTACACAGACCGTGAAAAGGTTCCATTAAAATAATCACTTATTTAACCCCTTAACAACCAAGCTTAATTTATTTGGTTTTCACTCATGACCAAAGTAATTTTTGAATTTTTATTTAAAGATATAAATACATAAATTATCAATTATTCAAAAAATAACACTTAAATGAGTTGAAACAGACACGTACACAATGCCACCTATGAGAGATTGCCCTATTACAGAAAACACGCCACTGAGATTCTATCAGCGTAGATACCAACATCACAAAAGGCTCTCCACAACTGGGAATTCTACGTGGAGAAAAAAACACCTAGACTTCATTGGATCTGCAGCTTGAGGACCTCCTGCATTACTAATACCTCAGCAAAGGGGAGACTCCCTGTTTAGGGTGTGTGGTGGGTGAGGAATACCCTGAGTCAAGCCAAAGGAGAAACCATAGCTGTCTTGGTCAAGAAACCCTAGTCTACAAACTGAGTTTATATCATAAAATACTCAGCAGGGTATAGCCCTAGCTATAGAGACTTTGGCTTAATTAAAAGGTGGCACCATAATTGTTGGACTATTAACCTACTAACCTAAACGACCTACAAATTAGTACAAATTCAATCCAGCTCTAAGAGGATATGACACCTGGTCTTTTGTGATGTATGTCTAATAACCCCTGAGATGCCAAAATATTAATTTATAAGACGGTATATACTTCTATCAAATTCGTAATTGCTAAAATCCTGGAGGCAGGTACTTATCATTTGTGTGGTTTTTTTTTCCGTTTTTTTGTTTGTTTGTTTTTTCTTTGTATTTAATCAATATCTAATAACACAGATATACACTACTTATTTTGCTGTTAATATAAAGACCTCAATTTAAACAGAAGAGGAAAACTCAAATTTTAAAGGTTAAGAAGATAAAGGAAGAGGGGAAGGAGAAGGAAGGGAAGGAAAAGAAAAAGAAAAAAATAATAAAAATGGGGGTAAAAGAAGGAAAAAGGTAGATAAAAGGTTAAAAAAGAGGGGGGGGTGGAGTCTGGATGCCGAGTACCCCTGGATGATGACAAGACGTGCATTGCCTGAGCTCCACAAACCAGGTCCAATACTCGATGATAAACCCGGCCGCTTGCTCACCCGGACCGTTGCCGACAATCTCCTAGTCACGGAGATGACGGTGCCTACGCCACTGGAAAGCTGACACAGAGGCTTGCGGCCTTCACAAGCATGAGCTGTGGAGAGACTGCCGCTCTCCGAGCCCTTCACCCGGTAGAGTGAAATTTGCACCACGTTGACCCCCCCCTTTGGACCGGTGGGGTTTATCCCTGCCAGACCCCTCAGATCTCAGCAGGGTACAAACAGCTGCCTTGCTACAAACTCAAGCTGCAATAACCAAACCTGAAATGGTGGCCACGCTGCACTTAACATTACCTAGCAAATCACAATCAGCGTGGACCTCGCAAGACCCATTTGAGAGATTACTGTATAACATGGATTTGCTCTTCGCATGATTCTGGGCGAAATGAGAGGCTCATGATACAGTGACATCACACCAGCACCAAGCGGAGGGGCAAAGAAGAGACCAGTGGGAGGTAAGCAGGGCCCCTCTGGGCGCTCCCCTCCGTCAACTAACTGGAACTGCTACATTAGGCCCACCCGGGTGAAAGACCACCGGGGACAACGTACCCCCGCATCTGCCACTGGCGACGACGAACTACCAAGAGCCTCTGCCGTCCCTTGAAGGGGATAGACTCTGCTTCGTGTAGGAGAGTCTGAGACTGTGGCCAGTCTTACACACAGCCCGGGGCCGGAGGGCTTTCATGCTCAACTCCTGCCTTGAAAAGACCCCAAACAGCTTCCACGCACCCCCAAACCAGTGAATAGGCTGACACTGAACTCTATGGACGGGGCCACCTATATCCTGCCACTGCAATGTCTGCTAAAATAACTAATTGTGTTTATGCCTTCCTTCTACTCTTGTTATATATTTTATTTTTTGCGTGAAAACTAGTTCTACAATGGGCAACGCAGAAATATATATATATATATATATATATATATATATATATATTATAATGATAGGAGTCTGGCCTCAGGGGTTACTCTCACCCATCATATTTGTGCAGTTTTGCATGTTTCCCAAATTACTAATGTATCCATCGCAGGAAACCGATGGTACCGCTATTACCCACGTCAGGGCTACTTACTCACCTCTAAAGCCCGAGAAGTAGGGAAGGCACCGGCACACCATGCCTTCTAAATATCCCTGATTCCATTGAGTGGCAGCAAGCGTGAGAGCGATAACACCAAATTTAACACACCTGAGACCTTGTAACACTAACCAGTCACATGACACCAGGTTGGGAAAATGGCTAATTGGGCCCAATTTGGAAATTTCCACTTAGGGGTGTATTCACTTTTGTTACCAATGGTTTAGACATTAATGGCTGTGTTTTGAGTTATTTTGAGGGGACAGCAAATTTACACTTACTACTTTACATTGTAGCTGTACACTTCCTACTTTACATTGTAGCAGAATGTCATTTCTTCAGTGTTGTCACATGAAAAGATATAATTAAATATTTACAAAAAATGTGAGGGGTGTACTCACGTTTGTGAGATACTGTATATATAATATCATACAAGTGTGTTTTTATATTACATACTAATTAAATTACACATGTGTATGTATATATAATATATAATATCTATATATTGTATATATGTTATTAGAAAATATAAATAATAAGTAAATAAAAAAAGGTAAAAATAATTTTAAAAATTATATATATGTAATTTTATTCTATTTTTTTAAAATTCTTTATTTGTATCATTTTTCAGTGTCATTTACACAGGTGGGGCTACAGAACAAAGAGGAAGGGTTAAGTGGTATCGTCGTATATAACATTATGTTACGAGAGATTTGTACATTTGTGTCGGTTGTGTGCTTCTGTGCTACCTCGTGCGCTAAAGTTTTTCCTCTGGTCCTGTTCTCATTTGTAGTTCAGTTTAAGGTCCATAATAGTAAGAACAATAACAAGGGTAACACATTGGTGAGAACAAAGGTATAGGCTCTGTGGCCCATTAGTGTGATCTGGGGGGTGTGTGGGTGGATCATAGCCCCGTTGGGTGGGGGCTGGGGCGGTGGGGGTAGGGTAGATAGAGGGAGTGAGAAAAAAAAGAGGGGGGGCGGCGTACTGAGGTATGTTGAAGTTTTGCTTGCTATCTTGGTCAATTTGTGTGGGTGGTCTGAGTGCTTCACTTCTCGTAAGTGTTGGGTCTCTGGCTTATCTGGTGTTAGAGTTGAATGTGTTTTGGTTGGTTACCATGGTCTAGCTGTATCCCCCTCCAGCCATGGGTCCTATATTTTGTGAAAGGTTTTAGGTGTTTCATGAATTTGCCCAGTTAATCTGTCCATTTCTATACGCTCTTGTATCTTTTTGGCTATTGTGTTCTGGGTTGGTATCCGTAGAGTGGACCATACCTCTCCTATTGCTCTGCGTGTAGAGAGGGCTACTCTGGCTATCAATTTGTTTTTGTTTCTACTGTGTGTTTCTAGTGGTTTGGATAGTAGGATGGCCCATGTGTCGAGCAGACAAGGTTTGGATAGGATTCTAGTGAGTAGGGAGGTGATGGCTTGCCAGATAGGCTTCAGTTTAGGGCATGTCCACCAGCAGTGGTAAAACGTCCCTTCTTCTCCGCATAGTTTCCAGCATAGTGTTGTGTGTGTGTTATGTATGATGGCTAGTCTCTGCAGTGTGAGGTACCATCTGAAAAGCATTTTGTACGCTTGTTCTTTGTGTGTTACACAAATAGTCCAGGATGAGGTTGCTTCCCAGATGTCTGCCCAGTCAGTTGGCTCTTCTGGGGGTCCCAGGTCTGTTTCCCATGCTTTTATGTATGGTAGTATCAGTTGTGTATTGTGTGTTGCTATTGTGTGTTATAGGTCTGATATTTGCCCTTTTCTGGCGGGGGCCCTGACGCAATCTCTCTCAAAGCTGGTTAATTGTGATTTCCCAGCCTGCTGTATGCTGGGTGTTGTGGCGAAGCTTCGGAGCTGCATGTATCTGAAGTAGTCAAATGTTGAGAGGGCTGTGGCATCTGGGATGTCTGTAAATTCAATGATTTGGTCATTAAGGAAGAGGTTTCCTATTCTCGTTATGTCGCGTTTCTCGAATTAGGCGTAGTGTTTGGCTTCCATTCCTGGTGGGAAAAGTCTGTTTCGGAGGATGGGGGTCATGGGTGATAGGTATGAGGATAGGTCGAATTTTGTATGTAGCTTGTCCCACATGTCCAAGGAGTGTGTGATTGTGGGTGCTGTTGGTGGGGGTAGGGGGCGTGCCTGTCTTGGTAACCACATGTATAGGGAAGGGTGGTCCCACCCAAATATGGAGTGCTCTATGTCCACCCATCTTTTCTTTGAGGGCGGTAGGTGCTACATTTGGATCTGAGCCAGGAGGGTCGCATAGAGATAGTGTTGGAGATTGAGCAGGCCCAAGCCTCCTGCTTTTCTAGGGATATACAAAGTTTCTCAGCGTATTCGGGGTTTATTTCCATTCCATATAAATTTATTTATGGCTGATTGTAGTGAGGTGAGGTCTGGTTTGTGAAATTATATTGGGAGGGTCTGGAAAATGTACAAGAGTCGGGGTAGAAGATTCATTTTAATAGAGGCGACGCGGCCCATCCATAAGATCCCATGTATTGAAATCTGCGTGCGCTCGTCTTAGCAGTGGGGTTTAGTTTTCTTGGTATAGAGAAGTGACGTCCGGTGTGAGTTTGATGCCCAGGTATGCTATGGACGATTTGCAGATACGCAAGGGAAACTTGGACTGTAGGTGTGTGAGGTCGTTGTCTGTTATGCATATTGGTAGGAGTTCTGACTTTTCCAGGTTGAGTTTGTATCCTGAGATCCTGGGAAAGGAGTGGATCAGTTGTAGCAAGTGTTCAATGGACATGGGCGTAGGAACCCCAAAAAATCTGGGGGGGATAGCATTTTTACTCGCCGGGTATATTCTTATTCCGTAAACTAGGAGTTGTTTATCCCATTGTACAGTGCTACGGAATTTGCAGTCGCTATATAAATGATTAAATAATAACATTAAAGGGTCACTACAGGGGAAGGGTTTTACTTACCCGGATACAGCGCCGGGATCCCCCTGATGCCGCACCCCCTATTTCGTCAAAATGACGAAATAGGAGGGTGCGAGCAGGGAACAATAAAATGCTTCTATTCAGAAGCGTCATTGCTCTCTGGTGCGAATGCGCAGCTTTGCCGCACATGCGCAGATACTTCATAGGGCGGCATTCATGTATCGACTAGGAAGCACCTCTAGTGGCCATCTGAGTGTCCACTAGAGGTATTCCTCATCAGTAATGTAAATACTGCCTTTTTACGAAATAGCAGTGCTTACATTAAAAAGCCTGCAAAGACATGCTATAAACACCAGAACTACTACGTTTAGCTGTTGTGGTTCTGGTGACTATAGTGTCCCTTGAATATAGAGAGGAAAAAAGAATCATCACAAATGTAAGAAATAAAATGTCTGTATCATATTCTAAAAATTATTTTAAAAAAATAAAAAAATATGCACATTCCTAGCTTAATTTTTAGCATGACATATGACACAAAATTTTTGTACTTTGCAGATTACTTTTTATATTTTTTTTATACATATACAGATTGTGTAATACTGCCCCTGACTTAGGGTGACCACATTTCCTAACTGCCATTCAGTAACACTGTCAGAAATGCATTCCATACATTTTACTACCCGTCTCTACCCCTTCCATTTATATGAGAACTCCACCTACCCCTTCCATGAATATTAGCAGGGCGACCTCTGGACGTCTGGCAGGTGCAGTGTCAGACTGAGCGCCGGGTAGTCACGTGACACCCTTCTGGACTGGACCGTATCGCCTCTAGGAGGGGTTCTAATGAGAGGGCAAATAATAGTGGGGTTAGGGGGCACCCCTGCATCGTCCCATTGGAGATGGTAAAGCGGGGGGGGGTGTTGATGTTAGGTAGGAGTAGTGCTCCTTGCGCGTAGTGGCGTGTTGCATCTAGGAAGTTTGGAAATTCGTGTGGAAATCCAAAGTGGGTGAGAGTGTGGTGAGGTAGGGCCAAAGGAGGCGGTCAAACGCCTTCTCGGCGTCTAGGGATATGACCGCAGTGGCGATATTCCTATGTCGTGCGTACCGGATGAGGTCTATTGCTCGTCTGGTATTGTCGGCTGCTTGTCTATTGGGTATGAACCCATCTTGGTCTGGGTGTATTAAACTGTGAAGGAGTGGATTTATTCTGTTGGCCATTACTTTGGTCATAATTTTAAAATCTACGTTCAGGAGCGATATGGGGCGAAAGTGTCCAGGTTTGTTGTGAGTTTTGTCTGGTTTGGGGAGAAGACATATATTTGCCGTTACCATGTCCATAGGTAGCTTGTCCCCTCTGAGCATGGCATTGAAAACTGCGCACAGGTGTTTAAGTAATTGTGTGCTGTGTACTTTATAATATAGGGCTCCAAAGCCGTCAGGGCCTGGGCTCTTGTTGGGTTTAAATGATTTTAATGCTATGGCCATTTCTTCGACTGTTACCTCTTCTATTAGTGTCTGGCTAGTGTCTGTGTTTAGTGTGGGGAGTCTTAGGGATTCTAGGAAAGTCGAGATGAGATGTGGAGTGTTTTGTGTGGTTGATTGTGGTGTGGTGTCGTGGTGTGGTGAGCATTGGATTAGAAAAGCAAAGGCTGCCTAGAGAGACTCGTGATTCCCTCCCCAGGTATTATAGTCTTGGAACCTCAGGATTTTGCATTAAGAGTCCTTCTGGGTGCAGCGTGAATTGCCTTATGTGCCCCCCTGGGCTCCGCTCTGAGTGGTACGGCTATCCATTTTAGGGGGAGTCCCAGATGTCATGCGGGGATTGGAGTGCAAGGTGTGGGCCAATGTCTAAGGGGCCATAGCGGGGGAGCGGAGAGGGGGGGTTTATACTTGCGTTCTCTCTGGGATTGGAGCTTCTCCATACGATCTGCTTTTTGGGCTCGTTCTAGGTTCTGTCCATGGTTATGAGTGAACATGGTGTCAGGGTTGCTGGTTAAGTAGGCGAGTGAATCCAGTGAGGGATCGATGTCAGTTCACTGCAATCCGTCCATGGAGATGGGGGAGTCCCGGTGTCTGCTCTCTATGGTTGGCAGGGTTCTCTTCTAGATGGTCTTCTTCTTCTCGGTGAGGATGGTACATTCCGGTCCTCGCGGGGTCTCTGTCTTGGAGCCATGTCAATGTGTGGGAGGCCTAATTGCTCTGCGAAGAAGCTGCGTGAGCTTTTGAGATGTCATGTAGGACATTTATTCTATAATCTTTGCAGACCATTAATTTGAAAGGGTGTCCCCATGCGTACCGCAGTCTCTGTTGCGTGAGGGCCAGCGTTAGCGGTCAAAGCGCTCTCCTTTTCTGTAATGTGCTTGGGGCCAGGTCTTGAAAGAACTGGACCTGATGGCCTTCTATTTGCAGCGGGGTGTCTCTTGCAGCCCGCATTATTGCCTCTTTCACATGAAAATAGTACAAGCGTAATATAACATCGCGTGGCTGATCGGCGTTTGTTGATGGTGCGCGGAGGGCCCTGTGAGCTCTGTCTAGGAGCAGCTCTGCTGGGGGTGCCTCTGGTAGGAGATTGCAGAGTGTTTCTTTGAGTGCTGAGTGGAGCAGTTCTGCTGTGATTGTTTCAGGTAGGCCTCTGATCCTTTTATTATTTCTGCGTGATCGATTGTTGAGGTCCTCCTGAGTTTCTTCTAGGGCGCGTATTTGTTCACACATGTCTTGCAGTGCCACATCTTGTCTTCCACTTCCAGTATGCGTTTTGTGAGGTCTTCCAGGCTTTCCTTATTGGGTGTGAGGCTAGTCCTAGTTTACGCTGTCTCTCTGTGCCCTTGACTTCGGATCGTTCCTGACTCTGCCTCCTCTCTATACGTCGAGTCCGGCCATTCTAAGGTCCGGTAGACGTATCTCTCCTCTGTGTTGTCTTCTGTTTAGCTGAATCCTGCGTGTTGGGGTATATTCTTGTTACATTACGATAGGGCCATGGACCCCGCAGATTTGGCTCAGCAAATTGCTTCTCACGAGGCAAGGTTTGTAGAGCAGGATCACCGTATGGATCAGATAGCACAGGCTCTCCAGACGCTCTTGTCTAGAACTATTCCTGCAACCGCACCTAACCCTCCTACACCTCATCCTCCCGAAGTATCCAATTCACCCAATACTTCGCCCCATTTAACACCTCCTCCTAGGTATGGAGGGGAAGCCAAGACATGCAGAGGTTTTATTAATCAAATAGAATTCCATCTTGAGATGTATCCTCATTCCTTTCCCACTGATAGGTCTAAAGTGGGGTTTTTGATGCATCAACTTACTGACAAAGCACTTGAGTGGGCGAATCCTATTTGGGAGGCCAATGGACCTATGGTGCATAATTTCAATAGCTTTCTTACGGCTTTTCGTAGAACTTTTGACAAAAAGGTCAACAAAAAGGTCAAAGAATGCCGCAAGAGCATTAATGAGAATTAAACAGGGGTCTAGGTCTGTGGCTGATTATGCTATTCAGTTTTGTACCCTTGCTTCACAGGTAGATTGGACCAATAATGGGTTAACTACTGCGTTCATGGAAGGTTTATCTGACACCATATTAGATGAGGTAGCGGCAAGGGAGCTTCCTATTCCATTAGAGGACCTTATTGACTACCTCATTGATATAGATAATAGGATTCGTGACAGGCTCTATACCAAGAACAGGAATAGACGTGTGGTCACACCTACTAACCCCAGAGTTGATAAACCTGAGAGTGTTAAAGTATCCGAGGAGGAACCCATGCAATTAGGGGTTGCCAAACTCTCGGATACTGAAAAATTACTTAGAAGAAGGAACGGACTCTGCCTATACTGTGGTAAGCGAGACCATATGGTAAAGGAATGTCCTTTGCTTCCGGAAAACTCTCGCACCTAAGACCTTATAGGGGACTGGCCTTGGGTGTGATATCTAAGTCTCCTAAATTGCCTCCTAACCATTTGCTTCTCCCTGTTTCCCTTCATACGGGAGAGAGTTGTATAGCTGAAAGCATACTAGCCTTGGTTGATTCCGGGGCTGCTGAGAACTTCATCGACTCTGAGTTTGTTACGAAAAATAACATTCCCGTCAGAGAGAGGGAGATACCCTTGGCCATTGAGGCCATAGATGGTAGACCTTTAAATACTCCAGTCGTTACCCATGAAACTGTACCATTATTCATGTACACAGGTGTTTTACACCTTGAGACCATTCGGTTTCAGGTTATCACCTCTCCCTCTTCTCATATCGTGTTAGGGTACCCATGGTTATGTTCTCACAATCCCATTTTTGACTGGGAATTGGGACAATTAAAATCATGGGGTAAAACCTGCCACGACTCTTGTATGATTAAAGTCACCCCTTTAAATACCATTAATGTTCCTACTACTCCTCCTTTGTCTACTGTTATACCTCCTCAGTACTTGTTTCTCAAAACTGTATTCGATAAAAGGGAAGCTGATAAATTACCGCCTCACAGATCCTATGATTGTGCTATCGATTTATTGCCTGGCACTATACCTCCTAAGGGCAGGGTGTACCCTTTATCTATTCAAGAAAACCGTATCATGGAGGAGTATGTTAAAGAATCACTAGAAAAGGGGTTCATTAGGAGATCCTCTTCTCCGGCTGGAGCAGGGTTTTTCTTCGTATCTAAGAAAGAAGGTGATTTAAGACCGTGCATCGATTATAGAGGTCTAAACAAAATCACTATCAAAAATGCATACCCTATACCCTTAATTACAGAGTTATTTGACAGGCTGAAACATGATACTGTGTTCACCAAATTGGACCTTAGAGGTGCATACAATTTAATACGCATAAAGGAAGGTCCCAAAAGGAAGACTGCATTCAACACTAGATCCGGTCATTACGAGTATACTGTTATGCTATTTGGTCTTTGCAATGCCCCAGCAGTATTTCAGGAATTTATTAATGACGTCCTAAGAGACTTTATTCACACATTTGTAATTGTATACTTGGACGACATATTGATATATTCTACAGATTTATACACTCATCACAGACATGTCACAACGGTCCTGAAGACCCTTCTTACTAATGGTCTTTATTGTAAACTAGAAAAATGTTTATTTGACCAATCCGAAGTCCAGTTCTTGGGGTATTTGATTTCCGCCAAAGGGTTTCGTATGGATCCCCAGAAGCTTTCTGCTGTCATAGAGTGGCCTCTACCACAGGGTTTGAAAGCAATTCAACGTTTTCTTGGTTTCTCTAACTATTATAGACGCTTTATTAAGGGTTTTTCTTCTATTGTAGCACCTATCACCCGTATGACAAAAAAGGGTGGTAATACTCGTGTCTGGTCTCCCGAGGCACTTCAGGCTTTCGACTTTCTTAAAACTACATTCGCCTCTGCACCTATTTTACAGCACCCTATCCCCTCACTGCCTTATATTCTTGAAGTTGATGCTTCTGAAATCGGGGTAGGTGCTGTTTTATCCCAAAGAGAATCGCCTGAAAAGCCATTGCATCCTTGTGGCTTCTTTTCTAGACAAATGTCCAAAGCTGAAAGGAATTATGATGTGGGTAATCGTGAACTTCTTGCTATTATCTTAGCTCTTAAAGAATGGAGACACTTGTTAGAAGGAACTAAGGATCCTATCCTCATTTTTACAGATCACAAGAATCTATCCTACCTTGGTGAAGCTAAAAGATTATCTTCTAGGCAGGCTAGATGGTCACTATTTTTGTCCCGTTTCAATTATATTATCACCTATAGGCCAAGTGATCGCAACATTAAAGCAGATGCTCTGTCCAGACAGTTCGAAACTACTGACAAACAGGAGGTTGATGTTACTCCTGTCATTCCCCCAGACAGGATTATAGCTACTACTATGTTGTCTATTTCTTCATCCCTCTTGCAGACCATACAGGCGAAACAAAGTATGGCACCTAGCGAGAGGCCTATTGATAAATTGTTTGTTGATGTTCCCGAGAGACGGGAGATTCTGTCATTATATCATGATACTAAGACTGCTGGACATCCTGGTATTACCAAAACGATGTCAGCAGTTTCTCAATATTTTTGGTGGGGTTCCTTACGCAAGGATGTCACTGACTATATAAGTGCTTGTACTACTTGTGCATGTATGAAAACGTCTCGTAGAGTTCCTTGTGGGCTTCTGCATCCCTTACCCGTTCCCGAGAGACCTTGGTCTAACCTATCCATGGATTTTATTGTTGAATTACCCCCTTCGAATGGTAACACAGTCATCCTGATGATAGTAGATCGGTTTTCCAAGATGGCTCACTTTGTGTCTCTTCGCAAGTTGCCCACATCCAAGGAACTGGCTCTTATCTTCGCTAGAGAAGTATTTCGGTTACATGGTATTCCTGTATCTATCGTGTCCGATAGGGGTAGCCAATTTATTTCCAGGTTCTGGAAAGCCTTTTGCTCAGAAATGGGTATTTCTCTCTCATTTTCTTCCGCTTACCATCCCCAGTCTAATGGAGCTGCTGAACGTGCCAACCAGTCTCTGGAGCAGTACCTTCGTTGTTTTGTGTCTCACCATCAGGACAATTGGTCTGACCTACTTCCTTGGGCTGAGTTTGCTCGGAATAATGCCACTCATGATTCTTCCGGCAAAAGCCCTTTTTACGTTGTCTATGGCCAGCATCCCATTGTTCTTCCGGCTGCATTCTCCTCACAGGGCATGCCAGTTCTGGATGAGCATTTGGCTGGTTTGGGTAATACTTGGGAGCAGGTTCAGCGTTCTTTGGTGGATTCCGCTGCTCGCCAGAAGGCTCAGGCTGACAAGCATCGCAGGGCGGCTCCTTCTTATGTTGTGGGGGACAGGGTTTTGCTTTCCACGCGGAATATTCGCCTGCGGGTGCCTTCTATGAAATTGGCTCCCCGCTTCATAGGTCCTTATCGTATACTGCATAAGGTTAATCCTGTTTCATTGGCCTTGGGTCTTCCTAGGTATCTGCATATTCCTAATGTATTTCACACCTCGTTGTTGAAGCCTTACGTACGCAACCGCTATACCCGGCATTCTCCGCCTCCCCCTCCTGTCTCCGTGGAGGGTCATGAAGAATTCGAAGTCTCTGCTGTTCTTGACTCTCGTTACCTTAGGGGTCGACTTCAGTACTTTGTTATGGGCCTGAGGAGCGCAGTTGGATTTCAGCTGATGCTGTTCACGCTCCCCGCCTTGTGCGTTCTTACCATTCTCGTTTTCCTGACAGGCCTGGCCCTACCGGCGGGTAAGTACTGTAGCGTTACTTACCTTATCCAGGGGCTGGCCGCGGTCCTCTCTTCGAGAGGCTCATCCGACAGCTTCACTAGGAAGGCGGGCAGTGACCACGAGAAGCGGTCCCCAAGCCCCTAGTTACCCCCCCACCCAAAAAATTAATAAACCCCTACCTACCCCCCTCACCCTAAAAATAGTGAGGGGGAACAAGAGAACTAAATACCTGTAAAAACTAAATAAAACTTATTATATGATGTCTTCTTTTTCCAGCCCCAAATAAAAGTCCATAATACCCTTCGCACTTTGAAAATAAAATAAAAAACCCAAGCACAAAAAAAATTACACTAAAAAATAATCCATCTTCACCCATGGAGGGCACAGTGCAGACATCAAAAAGCCACAGGCTGCTCACTGTTTACTAGACATGCCCCTACTCGCGGTATAGCGAGTAGGGGCAGAATTTACTAATACTAAGTAATCTTTACTTAGTATTAGTATATTTGGCTTAAGGGCCAATTTAGGTCTTTCAGGCTTTTGGTAGATAGCTCCCTGATACTGTGGGAATTAAAGAGTTATCTACTAAGCGGCTGCAAGATACAGCCGCGGCATGAATAGGATCGGAGTTTCATTCATTATAATTAAATTCTGATATGAACAAAGTCCCGAATTGCTCCTAACATGAACAAACTGTTCTCATTCTGTTAGGACGCAATTTGGTAGTTTTGCCGGGTTCTGTCTAAGTGACAGGTCGTTTGGGAATACTGACAGGAAGCATCGCGAGATCACGGATCAAAGGTAAGAATTGTGGGGAAATTACTTTGATCACCGGAAACGAAGCACACTTTGCTCCTCCGCTGGTCAAAGCTGGTCAAGCGTAGGAAACCTCCATAAGACAAGTAGTCCCTACGTTGTCTTATGTTTTAAAGAACACTAGAGCAAACCAGAAGAAATTAAGAACAGATCCTGACAGAGGGAGAGAAGAGGAATTGATTAAAGAAAGGTAAGTTCGGCGTGACAGTGCTGCTTTAACTTTGAAAAGGTTTGGGAATCCTGGACTGAAAGTGAGTACGTTGACTGACTGTAATATTACTTATTAAGAATTTACAGACTGTGCAGTGGGAACCCCCCTCTGTCTATCTCCGCCTTCCCCTTTTTAAAGGGGCAAGACATATCAGAAGGATTAAATCTAACGGCGACCATATTCTCTTTATTCTTCTCTATCTACTCTTTTCTCTTTCTTCTGGTCCTGTTTATTGTTTAACCTTGGTAGACTCCCTTACGAGGCCTTCTAGCCCTAGATGTTTTTAAAAGTAAATGAGGATACAGGTTTTTGAGAGATTCCTTACGTATAAATGTTGGGATCTTGGTCTGGCTGTCAGGACTCCTAGGAGACCCAACACGCAGGGTGTAATAGAAAAACGTATACTGGACCTTAGAGTGGCCGGGCTTTACGTTTGACAGAAAGAGAATGGTTAATACCAAGCCGGGTTCAAGGAATACAGAGATCAGGAAAACGAGTATATTAGCCGAGTCAGGGAACCAGATAAGAGAGTAGTCGAGGTACGAGAGCCTAGTCAAAAACAGGAGAATGGAGAGTAGTCAGATAGCTGAGGTGAAGATACCAAAGAGAACAATCAGGAAAGAAGCGCTATTGGGAACCAAACAAGAACCACAACAAGGCAAAGTCCTATGTGTGAACCAGCCTTTTATAGGTTGGCTCTTTAAATTGGAAGCCACGCCCACAAAATGTTCGAATCCGGACATTTTGGTAGGCCTTGGATTCATCGGCGGCATGACGTCGGCACGTACGCGGCCAGTGGTGTATCCTGGTTTTGTGCTGCCCTAGGTAGGACAAAACTCAGGCTCCCCCCAAACCCCCCTGCGCGCGTGACCTCCACCCATCCCTTCCCCCCGCCTTCTAAATACACACACACACTCACTGACAGATACGCATACACTAGCTAACAGAAACACAAACTCACTGACACACGGACACACACTCACTCACTAGCAGACACACACACACTCACTGACACACACACTCACAGGCAAACATACACACACAGTCAGACACACACACAGTCAGACACACACACACAAACACACTCGCTCACTAGCAGACACACACTAGCAGAAACACACTAACAGTCAGACACACACACACTCACTAACAGACACACACACTCACTAATAGACACACACACTCACTAATAGACACACTCACTCACTAACAGACACACACACACTTACTAACAGACACACACTTACTAACAGACACATTCACTCACTAACAGACACATTCACTCACTAACAGACACACTCACTCACAGACACTCACTAACAGACACTCACTAACAGACACACACACTAGCAGACACACTCACACACTCACTAACAGACACACACACACACACACTCACTAACAGACACACACACTCACATTAACACATGTACATTTCCTTACCTTTGGGAGTGCTGGGGAGGGAGGGGGTTCTCTATCTCCCTGGTGGTCCAGTGGCTGCTGGGTGGGCGGCATTGGCGGGCGGGCGGGCGGCTGACGAGGGAGCTCTTCCTGTGAGCTGACTGCTCAGCTCCCTCGCGCGCCGCAGAGTGAGGCCGGGAGCCGGAATATGACATCATCCACCCGGCTCCCAGCCTCACTCTGCAAAGCGCGAGGGAGCTGAGCAGTCAGCTCACAGGAAGAGGAAAAAAGATATGTCGGGTGCTCACTCCAAAGATAAACAGTAGATAGGCAGCAGTAACAAAAAACAAGGATTCCCAGCCTTGATAAGAAACAGTATAAAAAGGGAGGAGAGAAACCGCGCCTTATATGAATTAAATATACATACACTTGATGTCTCTTAGTGGTTGCAGGTAATTTGTCCTCAAAAAGAAAACAAAAAGAAATATACACAATAGTGTAGTATTTTTAACAATATTGAGAAGGAGTAATAAATATTATTTAGATTTATTACTCCTTCTCAATATTGTTAAAAATACTACACTATTGTATATATTTCTTTTTGTTTTCTTTTTGAGGACAAATTACCTGCAACCACTAAGAGACATCAAGTGTATGTATATTTAATTCATATAAGGCGCGGTTTCTCTCCTCCCTTTTTATACAGCTCACAGGAAGAGCTCCCACGTCAGCCGCCCGCCCGCCAATGCCGCCCAGCGCCCAGCATGTCTGTTAGCCGTGAGGCTAACAAGACATTTGTCCTGGGCATTTGGGGGGCGGCTTTTTTTGCCACCCCCTGAAAAATGCCGCCCAAGGCAAATGCCTTGTTTGCCTCGCGGCTAAAACGCCCCTGTACGCGGCGTTAGGATGTCATTAGCAGCAGGCGTTGGAAGTGCTTGGAGTAGGAATGCTGTCTAAAAGGTGAGTGAGCATGACACTGGCCCAGCAATGCTTATCCTAATACCGATGTGAAGTCTGTTGAGGGCGGTGTAGGGAGCTTTATATGTCTACATTAACGAAACAATGTCTTTATTTTCATATAATATATTAAAAACCTGACAAGGTTAATTTTGAATAGCCTTAGGGGTTCAGATCAAAAGTAAAAAAAGTAAGGAAGTAAGTATTCATTCCTCTCCTGTATGCATTTTCTCGGTTGGTCTCTTTATCTATGCATAAATCAGGAACCTCCTATGAAGGAAGCATATGAGTTATCCAGAATATACAATTTGATCAATATATTTGATAATAATCTAAGTATCAAAATATACTTTGTATTTACAATGCACCAAAAGTAACTGCAGAAAATGACTTTACATATTTGGTAGCTATTCAGAATGTTAGTTGCTTTGACAATAGATTTTTTTTTTTCCCTTTTGTGCCAGAAATGGAAGATTTGCCTTTTGCCTTAATGTCACACGCTGGAGGACTGCATGGATTTCCAGAAAAATATCAAGAAATTGTGAGGAAACAGTTTCAAATAGTATATCTTGATGAATTTCTGAGGAATAAGGATAAATATTCTCCAAAGATTCAGACAATGCTACTGTGGTGGCATCTGCCTGTTGTTGACAGAGAACTTCTGGATTCCCTTCCAAACCTGAAAGTTATTGGGAGTTCTGGAGCAGGAGTTGATCATTTGGATCTACAGCTTATATCAAGTTATGGTATCAAAGTGGCCAACACATCTCATGTGGGAGATGATGCTACGGCGGACATGGCGATGACCCTCATGTTGACCTCTGCTAAACAAATAATTCAAGGTACAATTAAATATTTTTTTTTATAAATCTTTATTTTTCGTGTGGAAAGATGATAAACGCACGTGTATGGCCACAACAGCCTCTACCCGTCAATCAGCGTCAGTGCGTAGTAAATACAGGCATTGCTGGATTCTTTTAACACACATTTTGTATTTACAATAGGTCTCGTTGTTATAGTGAGTTATTTAAATCGTATAACTGTGAGGGTGGAAGACACTTGTCTGCTTAGGTCACCCCTTGTTTTATTGGGTCTTAAGTGGAGGGGAGAGGGTGGTTACAGCTAAGTCTGGGTACTATTTCTGGTTCCCTGCCATGTGCCTCAAGGTTGTGGGTGTATGGTGTACCCCGTGGCCCTTCTGCATATAGGCCGGGAGTGGGTTGTGGTGGTCGCGGGATCCATCCGTAGGTTTCCCTTCTATGACTAAGTCCGCTCCCTTGTTTGTTCCTGACTGTGGCTATTGGTTTGCACCCGTGTGTGTAGTGCTCTAGGAGTATTTTTGTCCTAGTGGTGGCTGCGCGTGGTTGCTGGTCAATTTTACAACTATGGCTTTTAAGTCTAGGTGTATATAAGTCGCTGTGGTGTTACAGGATCAAGCTGTACCCGTGGGACTTCAGGCTAGGGTTATTAGACTTGGTGGTGAGCTTGATGCAAGTCAGGGTTGCTAGGTCGCCCTTGATGTCAGTTCCCTTTAACCCCTGGGAGGGGGTGGTTGGCTCTAGTGGGCCTTTTTTGCACTGCAATAACTTTTAGAATGAGAAAGAACTATATGTAAGTTAAGGAACAGTCTTAGTAACACAAAATATTTAAACTAAATATTTAAACTAAAGCCTAAGCGGCTGTCGGCAGAGACAGTTCGTTCAGGTTTTGGGTTTGGTGCCCCTGCTTGTTCCAGGAGTCGCGGTTGTATCTGCGCTTGTTGTCCCTGGCTGATGGTCTAGCTGTGTCGTCGAGGTCGATGTGAGGTTCGGTAGTCCTAGTGCAATCATCAGTGCTGGGCCCTCGGTGGCCTTGTAGTGCTTATCATCTTTAGTGATCCAGAGAGTTCCTGGGGTCGCCCATCTATAGGCTAGTCCTGTCGCTTGGAGTTGTTTGGTGATTGGGTGCATACTCGCGCCATTGTAGTGTAGCCCTGCTTAGGTCCTGAAAAAAGGAGAGTTTGCATGCTTTGAAGTCAAAAGGGGTCTTCCCTTGTATTGCTGCCATTAGCCCCAGTTTGTCTGACATTGATTGGCATCTTAGTATTATGTCCCGTGGAGCTGAGGTGGGTGCTTGTGGGGATTTGGCTATCCTGTAAATCCCCTCGAATTGAAATATTTTTGCTTGTCTTGTCGGCAAGAGTGTGGCCACAAGGCATCTAGTGAAGTGTGGCAATTCTTGTAGTGGCACTGACTCAGGTACCCCTCAAATTTTTATATTTTTGCGGCGCCCTCTGTCATCCAGGAGGCTAACGCCTGAACATTGTCGCTTGTGAGAATTGTAGGTGTCCTGGTAGTTCTCCCTCATTCCCTTGACCTCCTCTTCTATTGCCTGTGTGCGCGTGGACACTGCGTGCACGTCTAGCTTAAGTACTGCCAGATCCGCTTCCCACATTTGTCTGAGATTCTGTTGTAGGCCTGTCAGCATTGCCTGTATGTCTTGTTTTGAGGCCGGTGTGCTGGCTTCTGATGTCCATGTGTGTATGGGGTGTTGGGAACTGGGGTGTGGGCTGTCTTGTGTTTTTCCCTACTTTGATGGTTGTGGGGATGTTTCACGGGGAGTCTGGGCCTTCACTGCGCTTGGGGCCTGTAGCATTTGGCCTATGTCGCGCTGCAGTTTTGCAATGTTTTGGGGCGGTTTTTGCGTCCTTCGACCCATCTCACCTGAGCTCTGTGTGCTGGGGTACCAGTCCTCAAAGTCTGGGATGTTCCAGGGCTAGTATGCTCCCGTTATGGTCTGAGGCTTCCCTCCCGTCCTGTAGGCCTTGCCGCCTCGGCGTTTAGTTTTGGAGCCGGGTGTCAGGAAGAATGGCATCGGCGGTCACAGTGGGGTTCTCTGAGGTTTGTGCTTGTATGTGTGGCCGGGATTGATATGGGGTGTCCCTGATTGTGTCAGATTGCAGTGGATTGCACCTGAGCTCCGGCAATGTGCGTGAAAACATACAGTATTACTTATCTTGAGACACTAAGCATGTTTACAATATTGAAAATGCTACAATGATCAATATATCCAAAACTTTTTTTATACTTAAAAACAAAATCGTAACAAAAAAGCAAAAGAAAGGAGGTATGGACAGCGACACACCACAAGTCAAAGCCAGTTTGATAACGTTAAAAGTGCATGAACGTATAACATTAGCATTAAATTCCTCTGCCCTGAAAATGTGTCTATTATTGTGAGTGCCAGTTATTAGCAGATACGTTAAAAACAGGTAATAAAGGTAAAAGATTTGGATATGGTAGGCAGAATTGTGCTATACATGGCTACACAATGTTCAGCAGTTTATAACATAAAAAAATATTTTATACTATTTAAATGACCACTATAGCCACCCAGACCACTTCAGCTCAGTGAAGTGGTTCTGGGTGCCAGGTCCTCCAGGTTTTAACCCTTCAGATGTAAACATACCAGTTTCAGAGAAACTGCGATGTTTACATTGCAGGGTTAATCCAGCCTCTAATGGCTGTCTTCCTGACAGCCGCTAGAGGTGCTTCCTCAATGCGAAAATCGCATTGAGCACGCAGAACATCCATAGGAAAGCATTGAGAAAACAATTTTGTTTTCCTGACACTATAGTGATCCTTTAAGTATAAACTAAACTTCTGATAAACAGCAACAACTTATCTCCACCACAAAGTGCCCCCTCCCATGTAACTTCCACCATAACGATATGTGTATAAAGAAATACCTATTGACTCATAGTTGTCACGGCTCATGGCATATCTGACCGCGTGGTTGCACTCAAACAGAGAAGCCATGCTGTCAGAAATTCTTTAAACTTACCTTGGGCTCGGCAGGTAGCTCCTTCCGGGTCCCCAGCAGGTGCGACATTTCTAGGAGCGCCGGTCATTGCGGACCGGGCTTTTATAAGAAACCTACCTCAGTCCACGTCAAAGATGGCCCCGACTATGACGTGACTCCGCACGCACGTTTAGGGGTCAGACACAGCCAATTACAGCCTAAAGAGGGTTATTTAAACTCAAAATAGCATTTGGTCAGTGCCCTGTCATGGTTATCAGAGAGAGTGTTCCTGATCATTATATTTCTGGTATTTGACTTTGGCTTAGTTTGACTTCCCTGATTTCTGGTATCCTTGACTTTTGGCTTTCCCTTATCGATGTATCTCGTTCTGTATCCCTGACCTCGGCAAGTATTCTGACTATTCTTGGATACATTAAGTCCAGCCATTCTAAGGTCCGGTTATATGTTATCCTTAATCCTAGGTGTGATATTATTCTGCGTGCTGGATCACTTAGTAATCCTGACAATAGTATGGTCATGTCCCGCCACCACCTCCACTGAAAACCATGCCGTGCACGCCACGGTTGCTCTAATCTTGATTTGGAGTTGTTCAAGGAAGAAAAGTAAAATTTCCAAGTTTGGTAGAATTTATTAACCAAGATTGTTTTTGTTGGTCAAAATGTTCAACCAATCAATTTTAAAGAGAAAATTGAGTTTGGTTAAGAATATAGGGCAATAGGGCAAGGAGAGGTGGGAGGGATCGAGCTGGTATTGTCATGTAAACTACTAGGTCATCGGCGAAAGCCGAAACCCTCAAGGTAGTGTCACTAATCGGTATGCTCTGAAATCCTTAAAAGTTCTAAATAGCACACAACAGGGGATCAATTGTTAAGTTAAAGAGTAGAGGTGACAGGGGACAACCCTGTCTCACACTCTTCTCCAGGATTAAATAAGGGGAGTCAAGACCATTCATGGTGATGCATGTGCTCTGATTGTGTCGTACATTTTTAATAAAGTTTACGAAAATGTTTCCAAAGTAACGCAATTTTTAGTACCCAAATTAGATGTTGCCACGTGATGCTGTCAATGGCCTTTTCTGTATCGAGACTGACCAGTGAGGGCGAAGGATCCATCTCACACTCCTGGCTAGCACCCACCACCGCCGCCAGTGCTCTGTGGGTCGCCAGAAACCATCTGGCGACCCACCACAAAGCCCAACTGTAGAGGTGTGTGCAGTCATGATAGAAACTTTTGCACTCTAGTTGCTATGATCTTAGTAAAGAGTTTGATATCCAGGTAAAGTAAAGATATTGGACGAATTGATGTTAGAGCATCCATGCTCCTGCCTGGTTTTTTTGAAGGACTGTACGTGCTTGATTAAGGGAGTCTACAGAGAGCCCTTCTAGGTAAATTTCATTGAAAACTTTTGTTATTTTCTAACTAATAGATTGTTTGAAGATTTTATAGTATTTGGTGGTGTAGCCAAATTTAAGGGATGTGATGGCTACATGAATCTCTTTCTCTGTAATGTGTTCATTAAGGAACTCCCTGGAGCCCTCATCAAGACAAGGTAATTGTAATTGTTTACTCACCAATCCAAAATCATTACACCTCTTTCTTTCAATTCATACCGCTGTAAAGTTTAGCTGCATCCGTGATAGTTAAACAAACTTACACGGCCCCTCCCACGCCCTGTAAAAAAACATGTCTCTTAGCATCGTTACAGAAGGGGCAAATCTCCACATTATACCTTTTGCTAGTTACTCATCCCTCACAAATAGCACAAAAAAATATATCAGCATAGAAATGTGACGTAGGCACCCTGGAGAATCAAGTGATTGGTCTTACATATGTAAACAATAGGGACACTAACCATTTATGTCACACAAAGAGCAAGCATACAAAATGCTTTATATATTTCTTCATAATGTCCTCATTAAAAACTTCATAAAATGCAAAGACTACAAACAGATAAATACTGGAAACAATGCGGAAAAACAGGCATCTTCTTGCATTGCTTCGGGTGATGCCCTAAACAAATCCTACTGGACTCAGGCCCCATATCCTCTCACAGGTAACAGGAAACCAATTCCAGCTAGATCCCTGGGCCCTTTTGCTTTTGAAACCACTTGATTCTTTTACCCATAAATGAAAAGAAACTAGCAGCTAAAATGGCACATAATGCAATAGGTAATTCGTGGGCAGATAGATGTATATCTTTGTCTACCTCAGGAATTCAGAAATTAAAAGAATCCTTAGATCCTTACAGACTGACCCCACAATTGAATGACACCCGTTAATCGTTCCATAAAATTTGGGACCCCTGACTGTCAAGTGGAATATAGGCAACCATAGAGACTCATCTCTTTGTGGTCTTAGCTACATGCATACACTTACTTCGCCATCCACACCTTTCTTTCTCTTCCCCCCTTCCCTTACTATCCTTTCCCTAAATCCTCCTCTCCCATGCTCTCACCAACCTTTCCTGTCATACACATGTAAATAGTTTCACCTATAAATATCCTTTTTCACTTATTCTCCCCCTCTCTCCACCCCACTCCTACACTCAGTGGTGTATTTAAGATTTGTGCTGCCCTAGGCAGGACGGTGCTCAGGCACCCCACCCCTTCCTGTTAAGGTCGCACTTTGACTGACAGACTCATACACTCATAGACAGACTCATACACTCATTGACAGACGCATACACTCATTGACAGACACTCTCATATACACTGACAAACAATGACATACACACACTATTACTTGAACACACACTGACAGGCGCACGCTCTCACTGACAGGCGCACACACTCACTGACAGGCGCACGCACTTATAGACAGACACACACACATACACATTTCTCCCAACACTCACAAATATTATTTTTTACAATTTATTTTAAATCCACCCAGCATACCTGGGAGAGCTGGAGTGGATTATTTACCTGTGGTCCAGTGTGGCTGCTGGGCGGGCAGGCAGGGGCGGACAGGCTGAGTAGGCGGTGAGGGAGCTCTGATTTTCCTGCTCAGCTCCCTCGTGCACCTCTTAGTGATGCTTGGTGCCGGTCTGACGTCATATTCTGGCTTCATTAAGCAGCGCGGAGGGAGCTGAGGAGGAGGGGCTCAAAAGTGGCCAGCCAGCTCCTGAGCCCTCCAGGACATGAGGCAAACAAGGGATCTGCCTGGGCGTTTGGGGTGGCTTTTTTTGCCGTCCCCTGCAAAGGGCCGCCCAAGGCAGATGCCTTGTTTGCCTCGCGATAGACACGTCCCTGCCTACACTCCCACTCCCCACTGTCCTCTCTCATCCCTGGACATAAGACTAAGCATAAACCTACTACCTTGGGCAACAATTCACTATTAAATTATTGAATGCTCCAATAACTCTTCCTAAGGTTAAACACACCTTACTCAATAGTTTGTTACCCCATTTTTAAATTAATCCAGCTTTCCCTATAAGAAATTGCACAGGGATTCAGCAATGATAAGCTAAATTTAACAATTCCCCATGTGCTTTACTTGCGTGGAGCGGTCTTGTGATTGGAGGTACCATAATTAGGCACGACAACAAATGTTTTTCATATATATTATTGTACCCTTGAATATACTCTGTGCAGAGACTGTTTAATTCTATTTTCCTTTTTATTTGTCTTCCTACTTTTGCTGTTCTTTTGTGACAATTTTTTACAAAACTTAAATAAATAAAAAAAAATTAATCCAACAGCCATTTAGCCTCCAGACTTTTTTTTTTAAATATTTTTTTATAAAACATAGAAGGTGCCCTGAATATCTGATAAAATGTGAGAAATGTTTTAATTTGTCTCTATACAGTGATGATGAACTCTCAAAGAATAAAAATAATGCATGGTTTTATGCACTAGCAAAACAAGTTCCAATCCTTTTAGGAAGATATAAAGATTTTCCTATTATAGCCTGTTAGATCACTAAAAGATTTAAAAAAGGCATTTAGCGTGATCATCACTTTTGAGTCTTTTGGCTCAATAGGAAAAAACAAACAAAAACCAATTCTCATGACATGATATTGCTAATAAATAAAAGTACAAAATAAAATTAGTCCCTCTCATATTTGAATATTGTAAGACTGACATTAAATCTCAACTAAGAGCCTTTTATAATACAAATGTCCTTGAAAGTACCCAAAGCATTTTAGACTCCTCACACAGTGATGAACATAACAGTCTTTTCATGTTTTTTCCTTTTCATTTGCTTTTCTGCCCCTCCACTAGCCTCCTTTATTTATACATATCTTTCTACCTTGTGCCAGATCTCAATATATGGGTAACGCCATTTTGTTTTCCTCTGCTCATGATGTCTATTATTTGCACTTCTGTAGGATCCTTTTTACTGATGGATTCTGGGAAAACCTAATTTGCAGCTGAATCAGAACCTTGATTTGAAACTTGAATGTAGTACCTACTTTTTCTCATGTAAATTTGACCATTCAGCAAAAAAAAAAAAAAGTTTATTTTTAGTGTCAAAGGTGCTTTATTTTCTGAGTATAATAAAGCAATACAATTACAGTCAACATATTGTGGGCAGTTAAGCAACATTGTGTGATTGTTCTAAACAATGGAAATATCTGTAATGACGTGGTGACTAATTTGTATTCCCAACCTAGAGATTAAGAACTACTGTATCAAGGAGGGTTTGTGCCCCTGGATTGTTGCAGTCCATTTTTTATTACTAATTCCATATATATTCCTGTCTGTATATGATTCGTGTGGATAGATTTATACAGTTCTGGTATCTGTACCATTTAGTAATTTAGTTTTTTTTTTATGTAGCTAAGCCCTTCATAATGGAGTAACTGACAGCCATTTTGTTTTTCAGCCCACCATATAGCTTGTTCACCGGAAACAAAACATTTTGATTTGAATTGGGAGAGTGAAAATATTACTGAGGCCACACTCGGCATCATAGGAATGGGAAGCATTGGGTACAGCATAGCATTGAGAGCCAAAGCTTTCAGAATGAGGATTATCTACCACAACAGGAACCGAAGGTGAGAACATATTGTTCAGAAAAATGCTTTGTGAATCAAAAGTTTCTTGTTCCTTTAGTACTGATGGTCCAAAAAAGTCTGTATATCTTTTAGACTACTAAAGTTTACTGCTAATGAGGTGTCTTGCATTCAAGGTTGCTGAACGCAGATGTTTGTTTTAAAATACAATATATACGAAGGAGGCAAGCACTAATTTGTAGAAACATAAATTCTGAAATCATTCACTAACATATGAATGATTGAAAACTGGGTAGTTGCAAACGTTAAGCCAAAACAGTCAATCTGTAATAATTACTGTGCTAGAGAAGTTTTCAAATTGATTTATATTTGCCTAAAATTTGAATTGTCTAATTCAGTAATTGGTTATTCAGTAACTAGTCACATCATTTAGTTAAAGGGCTCAGCACAATCGATATAAAACAAGCTATGAATGTATTAAAGCTATACATAAACCCCCCACGATTTTAGAACGTGTTTGTGTCTTAGTTTCTTATGGTTAAACAGCAATCCTACTGAAAGAGGATACAGGGGCTCCCACTGGTCATTTGGAGTCTCTGTTTTTTGTTCATTTGCCTTTGGGAGCTCAACGGTGACCTATTCTCCAGCGCTAATCTAAGTTAGCTTAGTAGAGATAAGACACTGTATGAATTATTTATTTATTTTTTACTTCCTTATTGAAGTTTGTATAGTGTGAACTAAAGCCCCTATACACACACCATTGCACTTTATCTTCTAGTACTTACCATCGAAAAATTAACTTGCAGTTATTTTAAATGGCTGTAGACACTGTAGGCACTGTAACTGCTTCAGCTCATTTGTGCCATTTCATCATTCAGCATTAAATAGTTTTTCATGTTTTAGTGTTAAGCGAGTGACCAGCAGCATATATCCTCTGTGCTGCTTGGCCTGATGAGGAAGCATTGGGTGGCTGTGATTAATTGATAGTGACTGTGTGACAGTGATAATGATTGACTGTTTTCAGCATGTCACAGCAACCAATGATGATATGACTTGCTATTAATTTTTGCCTTAGCCATACCTCCAATAAGGGCTCAGCCCTTATGTAATGTTAAACTGTTGAAAAATAGTTTAACACTGAATGATGAGGGATATCGTCAGGGGTACTACAGGCACTATAACCAATTCATTGAGATGAAATGGTTATGGTGCCTACAATATCCCTATAAGGAAAACATTTTTTTTTGAATTGTTGAAAAGTACAAAATGGTAGATGTGTATACCTGCAAGGCCAATTAGCTGGTAAACTTTTTTTATATGCTCAATGCATACACTCCTAATTTGGAAGATTTGACACAATCCTACATGGAAATGGTACATGTGTAATAGTTGATGATTTTAATGTGGGCCTTCATGGGACAGAAGCTCTAGAGCAGGCCAACCAAGGTCTCATAACCTTGTATCCCTATATTTAACTTCCACCCACATTGATTTACTCAGACTCGATCTTGGGCAGGATGGTTATGAAATTACCATGATAGCTTAAATTTTGTATGCTAAGAAAACTAATGCATCTCCTCTTTTGTTATTTTGATAGCAGAGATGACTTTTAACAGGCTTAAGTGTCTCTTTTTTTACTTAAGCTCTTATTTCAGCCTTGAATTTATGCACACTTCCGTAAGGGCTCAAGTACAAGGGGCTCCCATGATGCCTTTTGAGAACCAGGCAGGACTAACCCCCTTCTTTCTTCCTATTTGCACATTATTTAATAGGTGAAAGAAAGTAGAACTAGAGCCAAATCAAAGGTACACTTTTAAAGAACGGGGGGTAACCCCAAATATGAACATAGCAAGAAGAACAAGTTGTGTACCTGTATGTAATCGGTGTAAAATAAAGAACAAAATAGGTACGATACTAAGTATATCAGTCTCAGACAAATATGCTGAGAAGATATACTATTAAGCAAAGTATACTATTAAGCAAAATATATATGTGTGTGTGTGTGTGTGTGTGTGTGTGTGTGTGTATATATATATATATATATATATATCTCATACTAAGTGTATTTTTTATTAACATATACATATATTAATATAAAAATACACTTAGAGTAAAATTACACACGTGTATATTTGTGTACGGGGTAATTAGAGGACATACAATTAAAAATATGTAGTTCGATAAGGAGCAAAGTCGGTTGAGGTGTGCAGAAACCGACGAGAGGTTAGGCATGCAAAAAGAGGGCCCACCTGGTATATTGATGTAAATAATAAAGGGTGAGGTGGGAGGGGAACTTTCAAACGGCGACGATAGATAAGCAGGGGTTACTGGGGATTTCAATAGGAAAACAACATCTTCCACAATTTCAGGCATATGCCTTCCACATATAATATACAGGTGATACTCGAAAAATTTGAATATCGTGCAAAAGTTCATTTATTTCAGTAATGCAACATAAAAGGGGAAACTGATTTATGAGATAGACGCATTACATGCAAAGCAAGATAGTTCAAGCCGTGATTTGTCATAAGTGTGATGATTATGGCTTACAGCTCATGAAAACCCCAAATCCACAATCTCAGTAAATTAGAATATTACCTGCAATCAATAAAACAAGGTGTGTAAATAGAACAAAGAGCCAACAAAGAGCTCAATTTTGGTCTCAACTGACCGCAATGCTTTCACCCGGTTCTCCTCTGAATCATTCAAATGTTCATTGGCAAACTACATACGGGCCTGTACATGTGCTTTCTTGAGCAGGGTGACCTTGCGGGTGCTGCAGGATTTCAATCCTTCATGGTGTAGTGTGTTACCAATTGTTTCCTTGGTGTCTATGGTCCCCTCTGCCTTGAGATCATTAACAAGATCCTCCAGTGTAGTTCTGGGCTGATTCCTCACCGTTCACAATCTTGCATGGAGCACCAGACCGAGGGAGACTGACCATTATTTTGTGTTTCTTCCATTTGCAAATAATCGCATTAACTGTTGTCACCTTCTCACCAAGCTGCTTGGTGATGGTCTTGTAGTCCATTCCAGCCTTGTGTAGGTCTACAATCTTGTCCATGAAATCCTTGGACAGCTCTTTGGTCTTGGCCATGGTGGAGAGTTTGGAATCTGATTGATTGATTGCTTCTGTGGATCTTGAGAGTGCTCCTAATCTCAGCTTGTTACCTGTATAAAAGACACCTGGGAGCCAGAAATCATGCTGATTGATAGGGGATCAAATACTTATTTCACTCATTGACATGCAAATCAATTTATAACTTTTTTGACATGCATTTTTCTGGATTTTTTTGTTTTGTTATTCTCTCTCACTATTAAAATAAACCTACCATTAAAATGATAGACTGATCATTTCTTTGTCAGTGGGCAAACGTTCAAAATCAGCAGGGGATCAAATAGTTTTTTCCCTCAATGTATCTGAAGTTTCACTGGGACTTCTGATGGGACAGAGCCTGTTTGGCTTTAGCAGACTTGAGTGCCGTGCAAAGAACTACCTGAGGGGGCCCATCAGGTGGCCCATGCACTTAGGGCCACCCGATGGGCATATCTCTAAAGGGGCCCGATCAGTGCTGTGGATTTTTAATAGCTAGTCCGAGCCCCTTTAAGGATCCTGGCACTGGCAGAGCTAACACCCGTGCGGGAGGAAGCACCGGGGAGTGTGAAGAGGAGAGGAGGACAGAGTCAGACCCACATCAGCCCCAGGCCCACAGCTAGCAGAGTCCACCTTCCTGCAGCCTAAAGGTAAGAAACATGAGAGTGGGAGGAAGCACCGGGGAGTGTGAAGAGGAGAGGAGGACAGAGTCAGACCCACATCCACATCAGCCCCAGGTCCCCAGCCAGCAGAGTCCACCCTCCTGCAGCCTAAAGGTAAGAAACAAGAGGGTGGAAGGAAGCACCTATCAGTGTGTGTATCTATGTGTACCTGAGAGTGTGTGTGTCTGTCTGTATCTGTGTATCTATCAGTATGTGTATCTATGTGTTTGTTTGTATCTGGTTGGTAGTGTGCACCTGACTGTATGTTTTTGTTGTTGTTTTATTCTTTGATTTTTTTTATAGTAGTGCTGCAGCTTTTATGTTCATGGTTTTCTAGTGTCTGTGCTTTTGATTTTTATGTACACTTTTTGTCCACAATCATTTTCACTACTTAGTTGATATGCCCCATTTATTTTAGTTTTAGTTGGAGCTCTATTTAAATGTTTAAACAGATTGTTAGTTTGTTTTGGTAACTTTGTTGTAATGTATATCTTTTCTATTTGCCTCTGCCTGTCCTGGCTTTTTGATCTTTACATACAGACTGCCCATGTTGTGTACGTTTTTATCTTGCATATATTTTATTATGTGCATGGCCCATTTTCTGTCGTTTGCATTTATTTTTTAAAGTGTGTTAGTTTAATTAATTTCAATTATTTATATATATATATATATATATATGTGTGTGTGTGTATGTGTGTATATATATATATATATATATATATATATATATATATATTGCTGTAGCGCTCACGCTTTCTTTGTTTTCTGAGATTCTCAACTAAAGCTATGTTTGGTGTTAATCTGCCCATATAATTGATTACTTTATTATTGTTTCTCTACATTTTTTACACTCATATTTTATTTATAGTTAGTTTTTAAGTGTATCTGTTTGTGTGTCTGTATGTATCTGTGTCAATGTGCACCTGAGTGTGTGTGTGTATCTTTCAGTGTGTATATCTGTGTGTCTGTATATTTACATGTATGTCAGTGTGTCTGTATATCTCCTATGTGTGTGTATGTATCAGTGTTAGTGTGTGCATGTGTGTATCTATGTGTGTGTCTGTGTATATATGGGTGCCAGATTGCACCTTAGTGTGTATCTCTGTGTGTCTGTATCTGGGTGTCAGTGTGCATGTGAATGTATATGCGTGTGTATAACCGTGTCTGTATATTTCCATGGATGTCAATGCATGTGCCTGTTTCTCCTTTGTGTGTGCATGAATGTATATCAGTGTGTGTATGTATCTGTATGTATCTGTGTGTCAGTTTGCACCTGAGTGTGTCTGTGTATATGTGTGTATGTCTATGTATCTGTGTCAGTGTGAAACTGAGTGTATATGTGTGTAACTATATGCCAATATGTGTAACTGTGTGTCTGTGTATTTGCATGTATGTCAGGGTGTGTATCTCTGTGTGTGTGTGTGTGTGTGTGTGTGTGTGTGTGTGTGTGTGTGTATACACTACAGACAAATGCACGCTTGCATTCAAACACCAACATTCATTAAAATTAAAAAAAACTGTAAAATTAATTTTAAAAAAAATGATATATGTAATTTTATTCTAACTGTATTTTGATTTTAATATATATATATATTTATATCAAAATACACTTGGAAAGGGGCACACCACGGGCAAACCTCCTCTTCCACCAAGACCTCCCAAAGCGCCCGCAAGGGGGAAGACGCGGCCTCACAGAGGACCCGGGTCTGTAGCCAAAGGATGTCGACCTCACCGGAGGCCTGGAGCTGGAGAGAAGCCCCCAGCCACACACAGCCCACCTCCACCCTTCAAACATCACAAAAGCCCGCACCAACCATACCCAGTAAAGAAATCGGATAATCCAGGGACTTAATGGAATTGATCGGCAGAAGCAGAGAACGGACTAACCCACAACAGCGTTCTGGTAACGTTCTGGCCAAACAATATCTGCCCCTACTTTGCAACCAAAGGACAGACAGGAGACTTACACAGCCTGTGTGGTGGACTGTTGCGGCCTAGTTCCACGCTACATCCATCACCATGCAGACCATGCCTGACACGTAATCCTGCCTGCATAACTTTACCTGTTAAGCAACCTTGTTTAACCCAGTGAACCTTTCTCTACTTTATTCAGTATAGCCTGCATGCTAGCTACAGGATTTAACTTTTAGACAGCTTAGACAGGCCTAAAGGATGCATATCATGTTGTGTCTTTAGCTAGGTGGGTGAAATACCTTGCAATGGGGTCAGAACATGCACGTACTTAGCATACCAGCTACTCAATCAAACATGCACACCTGTCTCATCTTGTATTACTTAAACCTGCATGTCCTTAGTTTTACACAGCGTGTTTAGCCTGTGATATCACTACTACACTAGCACAGCAAATAGAGCATTGTTAAGCATTAATTGTTATATCTACTCACTGGTCTAGATGATACCACATGTGCTGTCTTAACTCTTGAAGCTCCAGCACGTTTCTATCACCAATGACATGTGACAACATTAATTGGGAGGAGGGAAGCGAGTTCCACAGGAACGGTGCAGCCCTCGAGAAATCTTGAAGGCGAGCATCAGAGGTGGGAGTACGGGCAGAAGATAGACGTAAGTCTTCAGTAGATCGTAAGGGCCTAGACGGGACATACTTGTGTATAGGAGAGGATAGATAGGTGGGACCAGCATTATGTAGAGATTTGAAAGCAAGAACCAGAATTTTAAATTGAGCTCTATATTTTATAGGAAGCCAATGTAGGGAGTGACAGAAGGGTGATGCATGGGAGGTGGGGGCGGACAGGAAGATGAACCTCGCCGCCGCATTCATTATGGACTGTAACGGCGCAAGTTGGGAGCACGTAAGATCACTGAGAAGCGGATTACAGTAGTCAAGGCGAGAAAGGACAGTGGAATGGACTAACACCTTAGTCGCATCTGGTGTTAAGTAGGGGTGGATGCGCGCAATGTTTTTGAGATGGAAATGACAGGATTTGGCGATAGATTGAACATGAGGCTTGAAGGAGAGGTCGGAGTCAAAGAGAACACCTAGGCAGCGAGCCTGTGCGGTGGAGCTGATGGTAGCACCGTTGACTTGGAGGGAGACAGACACAGGAGTAACAACACTTGAGGGAGGTGTCAGCGGTCTCCCCTCCTCCTACCTGTCGGCAAGCGGCGTCTCCGCGCCGCTCGCGTCCTCCTCCACACCTCCCAGCGGCAGCATGTATAACGCTGCACGCTGGGAGCCCGCGCATTTATGCAAACGCCGGTGTCAGTCATGTGACCCGGCGTTAAAGCAACAGTACCACAATCACAGTGGGAGGCGTAGATATCTCCCACGTGTGATTGTTAATTCTGATTGGAAGTTATCCAATCAGAATTAAGCAAAGGATATTTATACTTACCTTTCCTGTCTCTCAGTGCCCTGTTGTGGTCTTGTGATACCTGTAGTGCAGTTTGCTCGTGTTTCTCTCTGGTTACTGATTATTTGGCTCGTTATTCCGATTTTCCTGTATTCTCCACTCCTTTGACCTCGGCTTGTTTCTTGTTCTCCCGTTTTCTGGCTCCCTTTACTTGGCTTGTCTCTTGACTATTCTTAGTGTGCTTAGCCCGGCCACTCTAAGGACCGGTATAGCACCCTTCCTCTCTGTGACCTGTTAGGTTCCGGAATCGTGACATTACAACAGGGCCACCATGGAACCTGCTGACATTCCACAGTTGTTAGTAAATCAGGAGGCTAGAATGGATGGTTTAGACCATCGTATGGATCAGTTTGCCCAGGCTTTACAAACCATACTGGCTCGTACTGCCCACTTGCGACCTGTCGTTCAAGAAGCTGTTGCTGCTGTGGCAGAACCCATTCCCGATCCAGTACCCGCTCCTGCTCACGTGGTTCACATGACGCCACCACAGCGCTATAGTGGTGATCCAGCGTTGTGTCGTGGTTTCCTCAACCAAATTGATATTCATTTGGTGATGAATCCTGTTTCCTACCCCACTGATAGAACCAAAATTGCTTTTCTAATCAACAACTTGTCCGGGAAAGCTTTAGCATGGGCTAATCCCATGTGGGAGAATACGTCCCCAATGTCCTTTGCAGACTTTTTGACCGCTTTCATACGTACATTTGATCAACCCGGTAGGGTTGCTTCTGCTGGCAAAGCTCTGCTTAGGGTCCGACAGCGTAATAGATCTGTAGCGGATTATACTATTGAATTCCGCACTCTAGCAGCTGAAGTGGTTTGGAATAACGACGCCCTCATAACAGCCTTTCAGGAGGGTTTGGCCGCTTACATACTAGATGAAATAGCATCCAGGGAATTGCCTGTTCTTCTGGATGATGTAATAGGTTATATCATTCTTATTCACAACCGTATTAGAGAGAGGCGTAGTCAAAGAAGGATGAATACACAGGGGTCACCTGCTTTACCCAGTACTGCATTACTAGCATTACCTCCCCCTAATCAACCATCTCCCGAACCCATGCAATTGGGTGCTATAGGCTTAACTGAAGCTGAAAGAACGTATCGCAGAAGGGAGGGCTTATGCCTTTATTGTGGAAAGAGGGGGCATCTCCGAAGAAACTGTCCTAGTTTGCAGGGAAACTTCAGCACCTAAGGCCTAGAGAGGGGTCAGCCTCGGGTGTTATGATTTTTTCCCCTCATGTGTCCATCTCCAGACCATTTATTACGGTTACTCGTTTGGTCAATCAAACCACTATAACAACTGAAGCCTTGATTGATTCAGGTGCTGCAGACAACTTTATGGATGAGAACTTTGCAAACACCGCAGCCTTGACTCTGATCCAAAAGGCCACACCCTTGGCGGTTGAGGCCATAGATGGTAGACCACTTGATAAACCTCTGGTGACCCATGAAACCCAAGAAATGGTTATGGCCATGGGTGCATTACACAAGGAAAGGTTAACCTTCCAAATAATGGACTCCCCTACAGCTTCCATCGTTCTGGTCTTTCCCTGGTTAGTTAAACACAACCCGGTACTTGATTGGGGTTGTTTAGATATACCCTCCTGGGGGGAATCTTGTCAACGAGACTGTATGGCGTCCCGTTTGCTTACTTAATTTGCCTACAGCTAAACCACTTTCTGTTTCTGTCCCTCCTGTGTATGCAGACCTCACATTGGTCTTTGAAAAAAGGGAGGCTGATAAGCTACCCCCACATTGGGATTATGATTGTGCCATAAACCTGTTACCTGGTACTATGCCCCCTAGAGGTAAGATCTACCCGCTTTCTGAGAAAGAAAATCAGGTCATGGAGGAGTACATACAGGAATCCTTACGTAAAGGTTTTATCAGAAGGTCCTCCTCTCCGGCTGGTGCTGGTTTCTTTTTCGTTGCCAAGAAAGAGGGCGATTTGAGGCCATGTATAGACTACAGGGGTCTGAATAATATAACAATTAAAAACGCTTATCCTATCCCTCTCATCACTGAGTTGTTTGACCGTGTTAAAGGTTCTAGATATTATACTAAACTAGACCTCGGGGGGCTTATAACTTGGTTCGTATAAAAGAGAATGATGAATGGAAAACAGCGTTCAATACACGCAGTGGGCATTACGAGTATCTGGTCATGCCTTTTGGACTGTGTAATGCTCCTGCTGTGTTTCAGGACCTCATAAATGATGTCCTTAGAGATTGACTGCATGTCTGTGCCGTGGTTTATCTTGATGATATACTTGTATATTCTCCTGATTTGAAGTCACATCATGCCCATGTGAGGATGGTACTTAAGAGATTGCTGCAGAACGGTCTTTATTGCAAATTAGAGAAATGTTTATTTGACCAAAAATCAGTACAATTCCTAGGGTATGTCATTTCTGAACTGGGATTCAGCATGGATCCTTCAAAATTAGAAGCCATATTGTCTTGGCCTCTTCCCCAAGGCCTTAAGGCGATACAGCGATTTATAGGTTTTGCCAATTATTATCGGAGGTTTATTAAAAACTTTTCATCAGTTATTTCTCCTATCACGAAACTGACTAAAAAGGGTTTGCACCCCAGGGTTTGGACACCTGAAGCCGTTAAAGCCTTCGAGACTCTCAAAAAGGCATTTGCCACTGCCCCCGTTCTACACCATCCTGACCCTTCCCTTTGTTATGAAAGTAGACGCTTCAGAATCAGGTGTAGGAGCCGTATTATCACAAAGACTATCGCATACCGAACCCCTCCATCCCTGTTGTTACTTTTCTAAAAGGCTGTCTGATTCGGAAAAGAATTACGACGTCGGGAACAGGGAACATTGGCTATTGTGATGGCTTTTAAAGAATGGAGGTACTTATTAGAAGGAGCTAGACACAAAATTTTAGTTATAACTGATCATAAGAATCTCTCCTATATAGCAGATGCTAAAAGGTTGTCCTCTCGTCAAGCCAGATGGTCTTTATTTCATTCACGTTTTCAGTTCATTATCACATATAGGCCTGGATACCGTAATGTCAAGGCTGATGCTATCTCCAGACAATACGAACCTTTGGAGTCGATTGCCCCTGCTCCTGAACCCATTGTACCTACATCTAAGATAATAGCTGCTACCCGTTTAGTTATTTCGTCTCTTTTCCTTGATGGTATCAAGATATACCAATCCCAAGCACCCTCTGAGACACCTGTTGGTAGATTATACGTGAAAGAATAAGATAGAAAGAAATTGTTAGCTTTATTTCACACCGCCAAAACTGCTGGTCACCCAGGGGTTACCAAAACACACAAGGGTCTCCTTCAACAGTTTTGGTGGCCCTCACTTAAGCAAGACGTAGTAGATTATGTGCAGGCTTGTCATGTTTGCGCACAGTGTAAGTCCCCTAATGTTAAACCCCCGGGACTCCTAATGCCTCTATCCGTACCCAAGAAACCATGGACCCACTTATCCATGGACTTCATTGTAGATCTTCCTTTATCTGATGGACAGACAGTAATTTTGACTGTGACTGATAGGTTCTCTAAAATGGCACACTTTATTCCACTTAAAAAACTACCTTCTGCGGTTCAGTTGGCTCAGGTATTTGCCAAAGAGGTGTTCCGCTTGCATGGTATACCACAGGATATCGTATCCGACAGGGGTCCTCAATTTGTCTCGCGGTTTTGGAGGGGCTTTTGTGCTGAGATGGGGATCTCCTTGTCATTTACGTCCTCCTATCATCCACAATCTAATGGAGCTGCCGAACGGGCAAATCAATCTGTGGAGTTATATTTACGCTGCTTCACGAATGCGCACCAGGACAACTGGTCTCACCTCCTTCCCTGGGCTGAATTCGCCAGGAACACCTGACTCATTCGTCCACTGGCTTAAGTAATTTTATGGTTGCTTATGGGTTCCAACCCTCTGTCCTTCTCAGCGTGTTCTCCGACAAGGGAATGCCCGCTTTGGACGAGCACCTCACCTCCTTACGGAAGATGTGGGATCAGGTCCATGCTACTCTTTCTCGTGCGGCTACTACTCAGAAGAGATTTGCTGATCGTCGTAGGGGTGCGGCTCCTTCTCCTTCTTATGCCCCGGGTGATAGGGTTTGGTTGTCCTCTAAGAATCTCCGCCTCGATTAAATTTGCGCCCAGGTTCCTTGGCCCCTATAAGGTATTCCTTAAGGTGAATCCTGTGTCCTACTCCCTGGCCTTGCCTCCTTCCATGCGTATACCTAACACTTTTCACACCTCCCTTTTGAAGCCCCTGCTCTGTAATCGATTCTCTGGTCCTCTCAGGCGTCCGGATTCCCTCCGCGCTGTCTCCAGTGACGTGTACGAAGTGGCTGCTCTGCTTGATTCTCTTTTTTCTCGGGGTCGGTTGCAGTATCTGGTGGATTGGAAGGGTTACGCCCCTGAGGAGCGGTCTTGGGTTTCTGCCTCTGATTTGAATGCGCCCTCTTTGATCCGCTCCTTTCATGCGCGGTTTCCTTTAAAGCCTTTGGATTCCCGCCCATCGGGCGGTCCTCGAGGGGGGATTATGTCAGGGGTCCGCGGGTGGCTGTGAGGGGAGGCTGCACGCCACTTGCAGCACTCACCTTCAGTCCATTGCCGCAGTCTCCCCTCCTCCTACCTGTCGGCGAGCGGCGTCTCCTCTCCGCTGCGCACCGCTCGCGTCCTCCTCCATGCCTCCCAGCGGCAGCATGTATAACGCTGCACGCTGGGAGCCCGCTCATTTATGCAAACGCCGGGGTCAGTCACGTGACCCGGCGTTAAAGCAACACTACCACAATCACAGTGGGAGGCGTAGATATCTCCCACGTGTGATTGTTGATTCTGATTGGAAGTTATCCAATCAGAATTAAGCAAAGGATATTTATACTTACCTTTCCTGTCTCTCAGTGCCCGTTATTCCAATTTTCCTGTATTCTCCACTCCTTTGACCTCGGCTTGTTTCTCGTTCTCCCGTTTTCTGGCTCCCTTTACTTGGCTTGTCTCTTGACTATTCTTAGTGTGCTTAGCCCAGCCACTCTAAGGACCGGTATAGCACCCTTCCTCTCTGTGACCTGTTAGCGTGTTAGGTTCCAGAATCATGACATTACAACAGTGCCACCATGGAACCTGCTGACATTCCACAGTTGTTAGTAAATCAGGAGGCTAGAATGGATGGTTTAGACCATCGTATGGATCAGTGTGCCCAGGCTTTACAAACCATACTGGCTCGTACTGCCCACTTGCGACCTGCCGTTCAAGAAGCTGTTGCTGCTGTGCCAGAACCCATTCCCGATCCAGTACCCGCTCCTGCTCACATGGTTCACATGACGCCACCACAGTGCTATAGCGGTGATCCAGCATTTTGTCGTGGTTTCCTCAACCAAATTGATATTCATTTGGTGATGAATCCTCGTTCCTACCCCACTGATAGAACCAAAATTTCTTTTCTAATCAACCACTTGTCCGGGAAAGCTTTAGCATGGGCTAATCCCATTATATTGGAAGCCAAAGGAGCTAATGAGTTTACCAAGGGAGGCAGTATAGATGGAGAACAGTAGGGGACCAAGGACTGAACCTTGGGGGACACCAACAGAGAGGAGTTGGGGAGAAGAAGCAGAGCCTGAAAAAGAAACACTGAAAGAGCGCTGGGAGAGGTAGGAGGAGCACCAGGAGAGAGCAATATCTTGTACACTGATATTGCGGAGGATGAGAAGAAGCTGTTGATGATCAACATTGTCAAAAGCCGCAAACAGGTCAAGGAGAATTAGGATAGAGTAGTGAACATGAGATTTTGCAGCGAGTAGATCATTGGATACTTTGGTCAGTGCTGTTTCCACAGAGTGCTTAGCGCGGAAACCAGACTGAAGCAGGTCTAGCAGAGAGTTGGACTCGAGGAAATCTGTCAATCTCGCATACACAATTTTTTCAAGGATCTTGGATGCAAAAGGCAGTAGCGAGTTGGACGATAGTTGGATGGGGAGTTAGGGTCAAGATTGGGCTTCTTTAGAATTGGGGTTACAGTTGCATGTTTCAAGGGCTATGGAAATATAGCAGAGGAGAGAGAGAGATTGAGAATTTTAGTGAGAGGTGGAGAAAGAGAAGAAGACAGAGTACGGATGAGATGCGAGGGAATTGGATCTAGGGAGCAGGTGGTGGGGCGGGAGAACTGGAGCAGAGCAGAAACCTCTTCCAATGTAGCGGGTGCGAATGAACATAGAACAGCAGAGGGAGTGAAGTTAGGGGAAGTATTGTAAGGGGAAGAAGAAAGATGAGAGATCTCTTCTCTGATTGTAGAGATCTTGTCAGTGAAGTGAGTTGCAAAGTCTCAAGTTAGTAGGCGGTCAAGTTAGTAGGTGGAGGAGGAACAGCAGGGCGAAGAAGAGAGTTAAATGTGCGAAATAGTCGTTTGGGTTCGCGGGAGAGTGTGGTTATGAGGGTATTGAAGTAATTAACTTTTGCAGACGAAAGAGCCAAGCTGTATGAGCTCAGCATAAATTTATAGTGGAGAAAGTCAGATGCACAGTGAGACTTTCTCCAACAGCGTTCAGCAACTCTGGAGCATTTTTGGAGGTATCGAGTGAGCTTGGTGTGTCAGGGTTGTTGTTGGGGGGGCCTGCGGCATTTAAATGTACAAGGTGCCATGATGTCTAATTGAGAGGAGAGGGTGGAATTGTAGAAGGAGGTTGCAGAACTAGGACAGGTGAGGTTTGAGATAGGTAAAAGGAGAGTTTGGAGATTGGTGGAGAAATGCTCCACTAGGTCAAGACATTGGAGGTTTCTGTGAGAGTGGTGTTCAGACAGTGATGTCAATTGGGTCTTAGGTATGCCAATGTCAAAAGTCAGCAGATGGTGGTCAGATAGAGGAAAATTAATATTGGAGAGATTAGAGGCAGTACAGAGGTTGGTGAAGGCAAGATCAAGAGTGTTTCCCGCTGTATGGGTTGCTAAATTGGACCATTGCGTAAGGCCAAAGGACGAGGTTACAGAGAGCAGACGAGAGGCATCAGTGCAACTGGAATGAAATGATATATATACAGTTGCAAGAAAAAGTATGTGAACTCTTTGGAATGATATGGATTTCTGCACAAATTGGTCATAAAATGTGATCTGATCATCATCTAAGTCACAACAATAGACAATCACAGTCTGCTTAAACTAATAACACACAAAGAATTAAATGTTGCTATGTTTTTATTGAACACACCATGTAAACATTCACAGTGCAGGTGGGAAAAGTATGTGAGCCCCTAGACTAATGACATCTCCAAGAGCTAATTGAAGAGAGATGTCAGTCAACTGGAGTCCAATCAATGAGATGAGATTGGAGGTGTTGGTTACAGCTGCCCTGCCCTATAAAAAACACACACCAGTTCTGGGTTTGCTTTTCACAAGAAGCATTGCCTGATGTGAATGATGCCTCGCACAAAAGAGCTCTCAGAAGACCTACGATTAAGAATTGTTGACTTGCATAAAGCTGGAAAGGGTTATAAAAGTATCTCCAAAAGCCTTGCTGTTCATCAGTCCACGGTAAGACAAATTGTCTATAAATGGAGAAAGTTCAGCACTGCTGCTACTCTCCCTAGGAGTGGCCGTCCTGTAAAGATGACTGCAAGAGCACAGCGCACACTGCTCAATGAGGTGAAGAAGAATCCTAGAGTGTCAGCTAAAGACTTACAAAAGTCACTGGCAAATGCTAACACCCCTGTTAGCGAATCTACAATACGTAAAACACTAAACAAGAATGGATTTCATGGGAGGATACCACAGAGGAAGCCACTTCTGTCCAAACAAAACATTGCTGCACGTTTACAGTTTGCACAAGAGCACCTGGATGTTCCACAGCAGTACTGGAAAAATATTCTGTGGACAGATGAAACCAAAGTTGAGTTGTTTGGAAGAAACACACAACACTATGTGTGGCGAAAAAAAAGGCACAGCACACCAACATCAAAACCTCATCCCAACTGTGAAGTATGGTGGTGGGGGCATCATGGTTTGGGGCTGCTTTGCTGCATCAGGGCCTGGACGGATTGCTATCATCATCGAAGGAAAAATGAATTCCCAAGTTTATCAAGACATTTTGCAGGAGAAATTAAAGCCATCTGTCTACCAGCTGAAGCTCAACAGAAGATGGGTGTTGCAACAGGACAATGACCCAAAGCATAGAAGTAAATCAACAACAGAATGGCTTAAACAGAAGAAAATACACCTTCTGAAGTGGCCCAGTCAGAGTCCTGACCTCAACCCGATTGAGATGCTGTGGCATGACCTCAAAAAAGCGATTCACACCAGACATCCCAAGAATATTGCTGAACTGAAACAGTTCTGTAAAGAGGAATGGTCAAGAATTACTCGTGACCGTTGTGCACGTCTGATCTGCAACTACAGGAAACGTTTGGTTGAAGTTATTGCTGCTAATGGAGGTTCAACCAGTTATTAAATCAAAGGGTTCACATACTTTTTCCACCTGCACTGTGAGTGTTTACATGGTGTGTTCAATAAAAACATGGCAACATTTCATTCTTTGTGTGTTATTAGTTTAAGCAGACTGTGATTGTCTATTGTTGTGACTTAGATGATGATCAGATCACATTTTATGACCAATTTGTGCAGAAATCCATCATTCCAAAGGGTTCACATACTTTTTCTTGCGACTGTATCTATGTATATCCCCTTAATGACCGTGGACATACTATGTACGTCGGACAAAAAAAAAAACGGTGTGTGATTATGCGCACACACACACGTATTATATACACACGTATTATATATGTGTGTGTGTATATATATATATATATATATATATATACACATACACACGCATTATGTTTGCCCACTTACAAAGAACTGATCAGTCTATAAGTTTAATGGTAGGTGTATTTTAACAGTGAGAGAGAATAACAAAACAAAAAAATCCAGAAAAATGCATGTCAAAAAAGTTATAAATTGATTTACATGTCAATGAGTGAAATAAGTATTTGATCCCCTAGCAATCAGTAAGATTTCTGGCTCCCAGGTGTCTTTTATACAGGTAACGAGCTGAGATTAGGCACACCCTCAAGATCCACAGAAGCAATCAATCAATCAACCAGATTCCAAACTCTCCACCATGGCCAAGACCAAAGAGCTGTCCAAGGATGTCATGGACAAGATTGTAGACCTACACAAGGCTGGAATGGGCTACAAGACCATCGCCAAGCAGCTTGGTGAGAAGGTGACAACAGTTGATGCGATTATTTGCAAATGGAGGAAACACAAAAAAATGGTCAGTCTCCCTCGGTCTGGTGCTCCATCCAAGATCGGTGAACGGTGAGGAATCAGCCCAGAACTACACTGGAGGATCTTGTTAATGGCAGAGGGGACCATAGTCACCAAGGAAACAATTGGTAACACACTATACCATGAAGGACTGAAATCCTGCAGCACCCGTAAGGTCACCCTGCTCAAGAAAGCACATGTACAGGCCCATCTGTAGTTTGCTAGTGAACATCTGAATGATTCAGAGGAGAACTGGGTGAAAGCATTGTGGTCATTTGAGACCAAAATTTAGCTCTTTGGCATCAACTCAACTCGTCGTGTTTGGAGGAGGAGGAATGCTGCCTATGACCCGAAAAACACCAACCCCACTGTCAAACATGGAGATGGAAACCTTATGCTTTGGGGTTTTTTTCTGCTAAGGGGACAGGACAACTGCACCGCATCAAAGGGATGGTGGACGGGGCCATATACCATCAAATCTTGGGTGAAGACCTCCTTCCCTCAGCCAGGGCATGACCCAAAACACACAGCCAAAAAAATCCAAAATCTGTTAATTAAGTTGACAGAGTAATAATGGGACATATTCTTATAACTGCTACATCCTACTTACCCAGATATTAGGAATGGTCAATACTTGGTCCCGTATAGGCCGATGATGTCCATAAATCTGTAACGGATGTGGATATTTCTGTTCACCAACTTTTCCATCTAGTTTTTCAGCTCTGTTCAGTTATAAAATCAATGTCACTACATTTTAAGCCCAGGCTGTAATGTTACACACTCACCCAGTAAGATATATACACATACCAGTAGCCAACACCACCAGACCTTTCCCCACACTGGTTGTTAATGGCAGCTCTGCTTTAAATTTTACATTTGTTCCATTAGTTTGAAGGAAGGAACATCACTCTAAATGTTCAAATACTAACGTTATTAAACATTTTATTTTACTAATAGATGCCTGGAGGACGAAACAGCAGTGAGTGCTAAATACTACAGTAAGATAGATGACTTGCTCCAGCAGGCTGACTTTGTGATGCTAGCTGTGAAGCTGAATCAAGACACTCACAAACTGATTGGGAAACGAGAGCTAGAACTGATGAAGCCTACAGCCACTATCGTTAATATCAGCAGAGGTATCCTATCTGAAATGTTTCAAGTCACAAGACATGGAAATTAAACAATAATAAGGGCTAGCTTTAACCAGTGGCAGAAAATGTCCCTCACGCAGACCACTTAAAAATTAGCCTTAGCACTTTAGCACTTCAAGTTACTTTTGTCCTATATGAGGAGTAGAGTCAATATATGGGTTTACAAGTAAACCTCATTTGGCCTGCAAGGTACAGATTATCTTCACTCCTGTCTCTGGACCAGATCCTGGCATGAGTACAAAGCCATAACTGTGACAGAGCATGTTGTTACCTAATAAGATTTATAGTGATATTGGCGGGCACACAACCCAGTTCGAGATGAGTGTCTTGGGCTATAGGAAAAAGAAACCACACAGAGACCAAGTTGCAGATAAGAATTCACACCACACTTTATTGTCCACAAGGGGACCCAATACAGAGTAAGCTTAACTCACCTTAAGTAGTTGCATACATTCACTTCAAAACAGCTTAGTATATAGATATATCAGCTTAAGTATACATCACCATTAGAGGGGGGTTGTATCCTCTGCACTTGACTGGGGAACTCTGGTAGTCAGTCTTGGAGGGACCCTCTCTGGGAACAGCAGAGACCAGCAACACGCGTCCGCATTACAGGTGGGTAGTTCTCCGAGTGCCAAGTTTCTCCGTCTTTTATACTTTTTGCCAAGTTTGTATCTTTTCCAAGATTTCTTATCAGTACAACCCAGCATGTATCTTCTCATGCGCATTAAGTAATCAGTATGGTTGATCAGGCCAGTCATGAACACCCAAGGCTCATGCCAGACACATGCGGTATCTTATTCTATCTATGTCCCTACTCTTATCTTTCTACACATTGTTGGCACCAAATCCCTCTTTTCAGCATGTTGGCCTTTTTGGATATTGGCTAGATATGCTATGGAATATTTTATGCAATGTTATCGTAGTTGAATTTCTTAGTGCGACACAGTTTAAGCCAAGTGCCATCTTAACTATCTATAATAGATTAATTTTCTCATTAGTGATCAATCAATCATGCCTAATTAGTTAATTAGATTTTATCACAATTATCACAGAGCATCATAATCTGGCAAACCCTGACTCATTTGAATAAATAAATTAATTAATTTAACCATAAGGACTAGAGGATACAGTAACTGTGGTCAGTGACTCCTGAAGGCTTACTTATCCACTGACCACCAGGAATGATTGCACCTTGACTCCAGGTACCTTCTAACCCTAAGTGTTCTATAAGAATCTTAAATGCTCATTAACCCTAGCAGCAAAATGTTTTTAACATTACCCATGTACATTGAGCATTGGGGCACTGTTTTTTTTTAATTTTTTCTAGTTAAGTGTTCTTGCATAGCAAGACCACTTAATGTTATCTCACATATATATTATTAAGTGTTCTTGCATAGCAAGACCACTTATTGTTATCTCACATATATTATTATTCTTATTATAGCCAAATTTGCCACCCTAACTCCTCCCACAGTTTTTACACTACATAGACAAAAATTTACCAAAACGTGCAGATTGTTCCCGATCGGATTGCTATTACTTTGTGGAACGTTTCGCCTAATGGTTCACGGAATATCGTCGTTCTTGTGGCGAAATTTGTCCCATAGGAATGAATGGCAAAGCTAGAGTGGGAGCTGGCAAAAGCTGAAAAATCAGGACATGATTTCTAAACCGCCACCACTCCCTTATTTTCAGGCCCACCTACACAAATCTTATATCAAAACGCTCAGCTATCCCTGCTGCCACTAAACATGTCAACAGCTAAGCCATAGTCCTGATAGTTTTCACAATATGACCATTTGTTTGCAACTAACGCCGTCCATTGACTTTCATTGAAACTTCACTCTGCAAAGCTCAAATTTGAAGTGCAATTTCTAAACTGCGACTGTGCCTTCAATTTTAATACTTCAGAGACATACCATGCATCAAAATGTAGGTCTGGGTCTTGTGATTCTCACAATATAAAGCTCTTCGCTGTAGGAGTTATAGTTTTTAAGATACGACCGTTTGAAGATGGCAACCGCCAAAATACTCTGACCTGTGTCAGGCTGCAGCAGCAAGTGATGTCATAGACAGGGCCTTTTGAACACCTGCTAATGTTTTTATAAATGCATGGTTTAATGTAACTGTCCAACAATGTTGCAATTAAATGTGCTATATAAATGATAACAGTTACTCCGCCCACTCCAGTTGTAGACTACTGGTGGAGGCAAGAACACTTCACACAATTTCCCCAGAAATTGTAACTTTTCTAGTTTCCTATAACCTTTCCCATTCTATGCTCAGCTAGTCTATTTTCCCCAATTTCAGCCTCCCTGTGTTACTGTGCAAATTAGGCATTTCTTAAAATGATAGAAAAAAATAGGTGCAATTGTAGCCAGTCCTTATTTAAATTGCATGGATTTAAAGATCAAAATAGCATAAAGGGAGTACATTATACAAATCTACATTCAAACAAAGTTTGTTGATGCAAGAAGAAATCTGACTGCCATTTTGCAGGCAATATTTTTTCCCAGCAAAAGCAGAGATGTATTCAAGGCTGAACTTGATGAACATTAGTATTTTTTCAGCTTATATTGCTCAGTAACTAAAAGTAAGCATGTGTGGAAAATAGTATGGTGTCATTGAATAAATTAAGTAAGTGAAACCTTGTTTATATATTTGATTGTACACACATGTATAAAATTTAACTATATTGATTTTATCTTTTTTGCTGGAATATTGTATTTGAGGGATAGATTGTTTTACCTTTACTTTATATACACTGGTCAGCCACATTAATAAAACCACCTCCCTAATATCATGTAGGTCCCCCTCGTGCTGCCAAAACGGCTCTGATGGACTCCCAAGACCTCTGAATGTGTACTGTGGGTATCTGACACCAAGACACTAGCAGCAGATACTTTTTTTTTTTTTTCAAATATCTGTTTTTTTATTGTTTTTACACATCATGACAGTTTAACGGTAGTGTGGATACAGAAAGAAGAGGTGGGGAAAATCATAATGAGAGGGGGGGGTACAGTTCACAGTGATGCGTATACATTTACAGAGCACATATACAGAGCGCATACATTCCATAACGTTGAGGTTATAAAATAACGTTGAGGTTATAAAATTTTATGTTCATGGTCGAGTTTGTAATAACCTTCATTGGGCTCTGCGTACAAACAGTGTTTTAAGCAAGTTGCTGTTGCCATACGCAGTCGTCAAATTATACAGCTTTTATAGCTTTTCTATTTGCTTTTCTATTAGCCTGCTCCCTGCTCAGGGGTTTTGCTCCCTGCTAGTCTGCGGCTCTGTTGCATAATTTTCTTGGTATACCTTGTCCAAATTTGCCCTTGTTCGAGAGCTACGTCTCTTCTGTGTCTGTTATTTTTCGCTAAAAGTGACCTGCTGACTACGGCGCTGGGAAAAGGGTGTGCTTCTAGGGTAGAGGTTGTTTAGGGGTGGGGATTGGTTCAGTGTCGTCTCCTCAACTGCGCTACCTAGTTAAGGGCCTTGTCGTCAACTGCCAGCAAGTGTGTTAACATACTGTTAGGGTGTCCTGCTTGGTCGTGCCGCTACGATTGTTCCTAGAGTCATCTTATCTTATGTCTCAGTCTCCTTCCCTTGAGGACCAGCATTCCCACTCCCGCTCCCTTCTGTGTTCATTACCCTGTACCCTGCCTGCCATTCGTTCGTAAGAGCAGATCGTGTCTATTCTTTGGCATATATTTTCCATTGTTGATACATTCTTACTTTTCCAATGGGAGGCTATATTGATTTTTGCCACGGTAAGGATATTTAGTGCCACTGTTCGGTTTGCGTGGTGCGCTAAATCAGGGGCTATGTGTAGAAGGTATCCTTTTGCATCTTTGGGGATTGTGCAGTGTGTTATGGTATGTATCAGTGTGCCCACTTTACCCCAGTACTCCCCTAGGGCAGGGCAATCCCAGAATACATGTAGCATCGTACCTCTACTTTCCTCGCATCTCCAGCATTTCGCAGGTGCATCCGCGTAGATGCGCGACAGCCTGTGCGGTACCAAGTACCAACGCATCATTATTTTACAATATGCTTCCCACAGCGACAGGCTGCGCGATGCACGTTTGGTGTTGCGCAGCGCCTCATGCCATTGTGCTAAAGGGATCGAGGTTCCCAGTTCCTCCTCCCATTTGGTCATATAGGAAAGCAGCAGATACTTTAAGTCCTGCAAGCTGTGAGATGGGGCCTCCATGGATATGTTGTTCCAGCATATCCCACAGATGCTCATACTGAGCATCATGCATTGAGATATCTGGAATTTGGAGGCTATGGCAACACCTTTAATCCTTTGTCAGGATCTTCAGACTTCCTAAATAATACTTGCAGTGTAGCAGGGTTCATAATCCTGCTGAAACAGGCAACTGCCATCAGGGAACGCCAATGCCATGTCTGCAACAATCTCAAGATATACGGTACGTGTCACAGTAATATGACTCTCAAAACTCAAGGTTTCTCAGCAGAATATTTCCTCTCCCAGCCTGCCTGCTTCCCATAGTGTGTCTTGCTGCCATTTCTTCCCCAGGTAAATGATGCACACGCACCCGACCAGCCACCTAATCTGAAAGGAAACATTTGTTAGAGAAGGTAATCTTCTTTAATTGCTCCATGGTCCAGTTTTGATGTTCATGTTACCCTTGAAGGTGCTTTTGGCAGTGGACAGGGGTCATTATGGGCACTCTGACTGGTCTGGGGCTATGCAGCCCCATACACAACAAACTGTAATGCCATGACCATCATGATCAGCATTAAGGTTTTCAGAAATTTGAGCTAGCTCTTCTGTTTGTTCAGACCAGACGAACTGGCCTTCGCAATCCACGTGCATCAGTGAGCCTTGGGAGCCCATGACCCTGACGCTGTGTCTTCCCTTCTACCACTCTTGGTAGGTACTAAACGCTGCATACACCTGACAAGACTTGCCACTTTGAAGATGCTTTGACCTAGTCACCTAGCTTTTACTTTTTGACCCTTGTCAGATCTTTTTGCGTGCCCATTTTTCCTGCTTCCAAAACATGAAATTCAAGAATTGACTGTTCACTTGCTGCCCAATATATCCCACCCCTTAACAAATGCCATAGTAACAATATAATCAATGTTGTTCACTTCACCTGTCAGTGATTTTAATGTTGTGTCTGTCAATGTATCTAATTCACTAACAGAATTAGCTGCACATAAATATTCAGTACCATGAATTTATCATAGTACTTTTTCTTTCCTATGGAGTCTTAGAGGTGAAATGTGTTTGTAAATCATGTGCACATTATATTACCTTGTGTGCACAATTTAGTAGACTGCATGCCCACAAGATAATTAATGTGTATGCCAGCTTTAACTAATTTGTGGACAGAATCTACTGAATCGTGTGCACAATATAACTATATCCTGGGCAACAGTGCCAGCGTTTCCTACCACATTGCGACCTCTGCTGGCTCTAGTCCCTAGCTGGACTCCAAAATGGTGGTGAGTCAGCTGGCCCCACCAGTGATTACAAAATAAAATATTCCATAGGCATTACAGAGTAGTGTGAAAAAAATAAGTAAGGTTTATTAAATACTAAGGACAAAAAAAGCATATAACGTTTCGGCCACACAGCCTTAATCATGTATAGCATACATAAATATACCCAATGTTTAAATACCTGAAGTAGCATAGGGATTACCCCCAAACAATAGCCTTATTTCAAAATCATGATGTCATAATTACAATTAGACATGAGAGGGAGTATCCACAGGTCAAAGTGCTTGTCATGGCAACAATATACAAAATAAATGGACATAGTTAAATGGAATGTTATATACAATAAGTTATATCATTTTGCCCTACACACAAACCTGAACCATTTGAACTACTATTGATCTTGAGAGATTTTTTTTAGATCCTTGAGCTTGAAATTATTATTTTCTTAGCAAACTTCTATGAATACCCCTGGTGATAATGATCCTCACTCTACTACAGCTAAATTCAATGCCAAAGACTTTGAACTATGGAATAAAAGCCCATTTTGTCCACCTTAATTACAGCTATTATTAAAGCTACATCAAGGAAGTAAATAGACATTTCAGTAATAATGACACCTAAGAAAAATGTGAAATATATCCACTATCTAACCTTGTACATGACATTGAAAAATTGATTGTCGGGGCATATTCGCAATGTTTGTATGATGATCTCGAGATTTTTTTTATTAAATCTAATCCAGTGATGCCAGTATTGCATACCCTACAAATCCTGCCAAAAATTCACAAAAGGATGCATAATTGACCTGAACGCCTGATTGTAGCAGGACCAACTCTGTACCACCATTATCAATTTTTGTCCTTGAGAGTGGAGATGTACTTAGAAAACTTATGTCTGTACCTCACTCTCTTACTTCCTGTGATGTGTCTAGTTTGTGCACCTCTATTCCCCATGATGGTGGGATTGCGGCAATACAACTAATTCTACCCCACTCAGATATTGAGACTGATGTCATTGACTTATTTCTACAATTGCTTGACTTGATCTTTAATAGGAGTTACTTCCTTTTTGAGGACACCATATAACGCCAACTCAAAGGTATTGTGATGGAGTCGAATATGGCCCTATCATATGTTAACATTAATATCAACCATTTTGAGACCCAACATGTATACTCCAATGCACTCTTTATCCCATGGCAAAACATGGTGACAGTATATCAAACATATTTTTGGCATTTGGAATGGCTTGCTTGATTCTCTTTTGCAGTTCTTTGACATTCTGAATGTAACATACCCCAAAATACAGTTTACCACTCAGTACGACTTTCACATTATGTTTCACAAAGATGATGAACCATAGCAGTTTATTAAATTTTTCCAGCATTCACCTCAGCAAAACTCTGCGCTCCATTCCAATAAGTCAGTTTATGCAGGTACACAGAAATGTTTCTGACTCTGCCAGAGTACAACTAAGACGTGATTACTTGGTTGACAAGATTCTACAAAGGGGCTATGCGTCTGATGTAATATACAAAGAGAGACATCATGTAGACAATGGTATATTCTGCGTAAAACACAGATCCAACCAGTGCAGAGTTCCAAAATCCACCATATATATCACAGGTGCCACAATGTTTGTTACTCCTTAGTGAAAGCAGACATTGATCCAATTTCCCAAGTAAAACAAAAATTTGGGGCCAATCCTATGTTTTGCACATTTCCATTCCTCAACTGCAATGCATGCAATAATATTATTAAAGATGACCCGTTCACTCATCCCCGTTCTGGGAAGGTACCCAGAATAAAGAAATATTAAACATGCAATTCGGATTTTATACTCATGTATGTGGTCAATGTGGTCTCATATACGTTGATGGTGATATACGTTGAGGTGATACCACTATGCGTTTTAAGGAGCGTTTTAACATAAACCCAGATACGTAGTAAAAAAGTAACCTCTCCTTATTTAAGCATTTTGGTGGCTACACTCTTTTGGGGCAGCTCTCACTCATTTGTTTATTGTTGCCATGGCTACCTCACTTCTACTTTTTCTGGTCTCTACATTGTAACTGTAACGCAGATCTCTTTAGTGTTGGTGTATAACGTTATCTTGGCACTCTGGGCTGTATTCACTTTGTTGGTAAGTCTCATTTCGACCTCCTACTTTCTTTTTATTTCCACTACATGTGCTTATTTGTTCAACTCCTATAAATGCAGCTTTTTTCATCTGCATGTAAACTACTTTTGTCTATAACACCCTGACTTCTATGAATACCTGGATTATTATCCTAATGTCTTCTTTACAGTTATATATTCTACTAGGGTTCAGCCCTGGACAAATATTTGCGCTATTCTGGTTGCCATGGCAACCCAGTTACTGCATATGTCCTGCAGCTGTGCTCACATTAGACACCTTTCCTGCTTCTGTTACTACACCAGTTGTCCAATTTGGTTGCTGTCTTACTATATATAACATTCCATTTAGGTTAGCCCATTTATTTTGTTATTTTGTATATTGATGCCATGACAACCAATTTGACCTTGGGACACTACATTATGATGTCATGATTTTGAAATGAGGCTATTGTTTGGCCAGGAATCCCTATGTTACATCATTGGGTATGTTGATGAATGCTATATATGATTAAGACCGTGTGGCCAATACATTGTATGTTTTTGGGTTGTTTTTTTTCTCCTCATGGTTTAATAAACCTTGTTTCTTTTTTCCCACACTACACTGTGACGCCTGTTGGATATTTTTTTAATTTGTATTCATTACTGGGGATTACGGGTTCCGGTAATACAGTTTATTTCGCAAGTCCTGTATGCAACACATCTCTCCTTGTAGTCCCTCCAGTGATGTCAGATAGGACAACATCCACTGGTCTCCTCCTAGACTGCCCAGCAGGGTGACAGAGCAAAAACAGAACTGCAAGGAGCTGTGCATTCAACAGCAAACCAATGGGTACCAGGAATAAAGAGCTATATAAAAATTAGACGTGTGTGTGTGTATGAAGGTGGGTAAATGTGTGCGCGTATGACAGTGGGTGTATGTATATGAGTGTGTGTGTATGTCAATATGAGTGTATGTGTTTAAATATGTGATTATAAATTGGACTGTGTATATGAATGTGTGTGTATGAATGTAGCATGTATCTGCATAAATATGTGTGTGCATATAAATATGAGCAGATGTGTGAGAATGTGTGTAATTTCCCTAACAAAAGGGTGTTGGTGGCATTGCATAGAGAGACAAAAAATTTTTTTGAAAACCCTACACTTTGGATGGTGCCAGTATACATTTCCAAGCCAGGTGCCAGTTAACCTAGGTGTAGCGGAGAGCTGTTATTCCACAGACTAAATCCGCTATAGATGCCAGTATGGCTCAGGAACAAGTAAATAATCCCAGGTAAAACATCCACAGTAACAGAGTAATCCAGCAGCGTAGCAAGCACAATCAGTAATATAATCCCATCACCTTTTCCAATAACTGGACGACACACAGTATTAGGAGCAGAACTGAGCTTTAATCACACAACCCCTGCTTTTATGCAATCCTCCCATGCAAGGGAGAGACCCACAATAATTAGTACAGTAGCCAATTAGGTATAAGGTACAACCCACACATCTCTTCCCCTTTAAATTATCAGTTAACATAATTAAAAGTTACATAATTTCCCCCCACAAGACCCATCTAGACCCAGGCCATTACCGGCCGATTTCACTACTAAACACCGGCATAAAACTATTCACCAAAATTCTTGCCAACCGACTACACCCCTTCCTTCCCAAATTAATCCACCTGGACCAAGTCGGATTCATCCCACACCGCCAAGCGTGTGATAAAACCAGAAGAACATACGACCTAATTTGGACATCAAACCACCGACAACAGCCGACCCTCCTCCAATCCCTTGACGCCAAAAAAGCATTCGACTGAATACTCTGGCCCTACCTGTTCGCGACCCTCATATGTCTGAAAAGACTAAGGCTTCCAGTGAGAGTTTCAGGGACCTGGGACTGGAGCCTAGAATCCTACACATATGTGACCATTATTGAACTAACTACTTTAAGCACACAAGACTGGAATGGCAGAACTATAAATTGGATGCCTACATCGAAAAAACTTACACCTGCCCTTTACCTGGAAACCTAAGAGCTAGAAGTTTTTAATGGAAAAATTATAGAAAAATTCAAAATATAGAAGGGAAGAGAGCTAATTAAGCAAAACACAAGAAAGGGGACCACAGGACAATTTGAAAGGTTACACCTAGCCACAAAGCAAAATAACCCTACAGGTAATGAAACACAAATAAAAGGAATATTAAAACAAGAAACAGATCATCTTTACCCTATACAGTGGGATGAGGATAGACCAAAAAACCAGTACAACAACAGCACTCACACCACTCAAACTCCAACTCTGGGACAGGACAACACGGAAAATACGACCTACATCAACCCACCCCATCCACACTACACACAAATCCTTCAGAAAGATCAAACTAGATTCCAACGTGGAATGACCCCAAACCCCCCAACACTTTATGCGATACGAGAGACTGAACAATTCTGATCCGACATTCTATCACTTCTTCCGAGGTACAAGACCACTCTTACACTTTGCATGAGACCTAGACCGCCCGGATTGACACCCCATTCAAACCACATATTTTGAGCCCACTGTAATGGTAGACTTGGGACAGATCAGGAGCACAAGACTTCCTGGACCCACCCTAAGCAACAGAAACCACAACTACCCAAAGCCGCACTCTAGTATGTCACAAATCCAGAGCAGCCCTTCCAAGGTAAAACTTCATATTTTAGAGCAGGACCAAGATTTCATCCGTATGAACTCACCAAAGTGATTTTCAGGGGTGCGAAAACATTAAACAAGTTTTAACCTCAAGTTTTAAAGATAAAGAAAAAGTCCAAGATCTCATCTATATTTAAGAAAGAAAAAGGCTCTCTATACAACATGTGGGCGTACTTTAGGAAAAATAAGAATAAAAATTTGGAAGCTTCAGCAAAATAAGATTTGTGTAAAACCAATAACATGTAATATAAAAATGTTTTATCTGATACCTGTCCCCCGGTTTACAAAAAAAAACGTCCAGATTACTAAAGCCCGAACAGGGAACATACATAATTTAATGGAAATTCACACATAGCCAAGCATATGGAAGGCATGGAGGAGTATAGTGGATTTGAATTCTTAGAAAACCTGAAGACACATTCAGAGGGGTGATAAGAAATTACTCCCAAAAGGAGAAAATGGATTTAAATAGCAACACCACCCCAAAGGTTTGAAGTCTTTGAAAAGTAATTATACCATGTAATTTTACAAATTTGGAGTTGAAAATAATTTTAAAAAAACAGTTTTTCAATATATATGGGTCATTAATTATTAAATTGAATATTTTTTAAGTTTAATCCCTCTCTCTTCAAAAACTAGATTAATTTTCATAGTTTTAATACGTATTGGTTTATTTTGATTAAAGGTACTAGTATATACAAGGAATAAAGAGACTGGCAAGATACTTTTTAAAATTAATACTTCCCGGCTCTATGACTGAAATCCCAAGGGGGAAAAAAAAAGTCCACCTTATAGGAAAGACGTCTACTTCATCTAATATTAGTTTTTTTTAACAATAAAATCATTTTTACTGACAATGGAGATTCTAGTGAGACCCATATTGGGACGCTGAAAGAACAAGACGTCCAAATTGAATAAATTTGTTCCAAAAGCCTGGCTATACTAAAGTGACACAGTGTAGATGATATAGTCACATGTATCATGACTACATTTTCAATATAAGTTTTTATGTTTTAGTTTTTTAGAATTTTTCATCTGAAAAAGGTCTGTACCCATTGAATATTGCATGCATTGAGTATCTCAGACAACAGTTTATTTTACATTTGTAACTTTCTTTACTCAGCAGGTCATTAATGATGACATTTGCAGTCTCATTCACGATTACGGTGAATGCTATGCTTAATTAGATCTTTAAAAGCCTGGATTTACATCAGCTTAAAATCAGTATGGTATTTTGATCCCCAAACAAGATGAGTGCAAAGAGAAAGAGCTGTACATACTGGTAACGTAAATAAATAAGCCCTACCCTGAAAATAAGGTGTGTTTTTTGTGACTAAAATTAATATAAGACATTTTCGGAGAAACACGGTATGCTATGCTTGATCTTTAAAAGCCTTTTACATCAGCTTAAAATCTTGAAGCATCCACCCAAGGCCAGTTTTACAAAATGTAGGAACGGAACAATAAAAACATTTATGAACACTCTTGTTACCTTTTTTTTACATTAGTAATATTATATAATTCCACAACAAGAATGACATAAGAAAAGAAAAAAAATGCCTACAAGGGAAGATAGGGGATAGGAAGGAAAAGAGGCCAAAGGAGTACCTTGATTCCATCCAGAATTACTGTTTTAAAGCATTGTTTTTAACATGTTTAATAATGATCCAAATGTTATACATTACATTAACTAGGTGAACCGTTTTTCATTTGAAAATGAACTTTGCGACTGATTCCAATATAAATACTAAAACAAATTCTACAAAAAAAAATCTGAACTGCAGCAATAAACAACTTATTGTGAACACTTGTCTGGGGCAAGAATTACCCAGAATCTGTTTTGCCTAATGTCGGTACTGCAGAAACTACTTTAATTCAAAACACACAAAGCAAATTCAGTGAAAGCAAAAACTACTTTCAAGTTTTTCAAAGTTAATTAAAATGTCTATCTCAAGTGACAAATATTTGATTGCTAGGACATATGACATGTATTAAGGCCGTTTGGCCTGTATTTGTGGGAGGAGCTTAAATTAATTCACTATAAGGGACACCCCTTACCTGACTCCATATAGCTTGAGGTCAGCATCAGAATGATTTCCACTTCCGGGTCATCCAGACGCCATTTTACCTGATTACTCCATGAGGTTTTCTAAGCTGAGCTATGTCAGGAATCCAGCCACAGGCTTTTCTGGCCTACCACCTTCTTTCTTCAATCCATCGCTGTGGATGGTGTCCAAGTGACTCACAAACTGTAAGCCGACCTACCCGTTACACCAGGCATCAGTCCCACGGCACCATGCACGGGTCAGGTCCTCACTTAAGGCTGCATTTGGTCTAAGTCTGTTCTAAAACCATTGCATGTTCATGCATATCATTCGTTTAAACTCACTTGTTTATATCTGTCTCTGGCTCATTTCGAGCATTAGCATACTCCCGAACAAGAACACATTCTGTTTCAATTGCCTAAACCTACTAGGCAATTCTGTGCGTGCATTGCGAATCTCACTGCTCGTTTCGTTTTGTTTCCCTGACATACCAGGCTCATGATTCTGCAAGTTTCTACCAAACGGGAACTAGTTCATGCATTTACTATTGTACTTACACACACGTTTCGTGCGTTTACAACCCACGAACAGAACACTGGTTTGTTACAATGACTGTTATTAAGCTATTATGTTCACATATTGTATATTGTCAAACAGGCACTGTTCGTTTCCCTGTCATACAACTATAATGCTGGGGCATAGCTCACAAACAATGTTTCACATAAACTACACTGACCCCTACAGGTCACTCTCAAAATCTCACGTTAACCTTGCATTTGGATTAAAGGGTATTTTTACCATACAATCAGCATTTCTGACCCCTACTGGTCAACAGCAAAACTGTCTTCACATGTCATATGCAATTTACCAGCCAATATAAATTACACATAAGATTGTTTTAAACATAAATTAAACTCCAGCACGGGCTCAACTTCAGGTTTAATTCACAATAATTTACATTTCACATCAAGACCAACAGTGGTTCTATTAACACTGCCACCTACAGGTCTGTCAAGTACATTGACAATTTTCATGGAGTTTTACAAACACCAAAACACTGACCCCTATAGGTCAACAGACAAACAACATTTCACATACCAATCAGTATCCAACTACACTGCCACCTATAGCGCACTCGGCAGATCTCCAGTGCACTTGCATTTTGCAACACAATGTTCAATGACCCCTACCATTCAATAAGACATACAGCAATTCACATAGCAAGTAGTATATCAGCATCTGGTATAAATACACATATTATTACACAGTAGCAGAAGCATCTGTATTTACGTAACTGGTAATATAGTTCACATACATTTTTCACAGCACGCTACTCACACAACAGACTTTCCTCTAGCAAGGGGCAGGGCCAGTGCAAGGATTTTTGCCGCCTTAGGCAAAAATAAAGTTTGACGCCCCCCCATGTGACATCACAATGCCCCACCCATATGATTTGCCCTGTTAACTAACGCCAGTGCTGCAGTGCCGCCGTGTTTACATTAAAAGGACTGCAGGGACAGGCTATAGACACCAGAACCACTACATTAAGCTGCAGTGGTTCTGGGGACTATAGTGTTTCTTTAATGTGAGGTACATTACAGATTAGTGCCACGAATAATATACTAGATTGCCTACTTACCAACAGATGAGGATGATGATGGGCTCTAGCTGCAGTCTAGCTCCACTGGTCTGGTGTAGAACAGGCTCTCTGGAGGCAGTTTGTAACTGTGGTCACAAAAATCAATGTTCTCGGAGAACGGGAAGCAGCTCCATTTTTGGGGGGCCCTTTACACAGCTCAAGGTCTGGATCCCAGGGTCCACCTTCATGTTCCACCAGTGAGTTTGTTCACAGGGGGTGGAGTGTGTAGGGGATGTCCTGATATGTGTGTAAGGAATGCATTGTGTGAATCTGTGTTTGTATGTGTATGGGCTGCAAGGTGTGTTTCTGTGTATGTACCGGATGCATTGAGTGTGTGTAATGAATGCATTGTGTTTCTGTGTGTGTAAGGGATGCATTGTGTGTAACGGTTGCATTGCTTGTGAAATGCATTGTGTGTTTTTCTGTGTGCAAGTGGTGCATTGTGTGTGTGATGAATGTCAATCTCTCCCCCCTTCAATTTCCTTCTCTTCCCCCACCTCCCAATTTCTTTCTTCCCCCACCTCCCAATTTCTTTCTTTATCCCCCTCCCAATTTCTTTCTTTATCCCCTCAATCTTTCTTTATTCCCCCCAATTTCTTTCTCCTTCCTCCCCCTCCCAATTCCTCTCTGTATCTCCCCTCCCAATTTCTTTCTTTTATTCCTCCCCAATTTCTTTCTCCCCCCTCCACCTCCCAATTTCTTTCTTTATCCCCTCCCAATTTCTTTCTTTATCCCCCCATCCCAATTTCTTTCTCCCCCCCCCTACCACTGTTGTAGCATGGCCAAGCTCTGTATGGTCCACGGGTACAGGGAGCTTTTGTTTCCTGTACCCGACCGGACTAACAGGAAGTGAACACTGAGTGCACACTTCCTGTTAGTCCGGCCGAGTACAGGAGACAGATGCTCCCTGTACCCGCTGACCATGATACAGGGCTCGGCCACGCTACAGTGAGGGAGTGACAGGAGGGAGCGCTGAGCGCTTCCCTCCTGTCAGCCCCTCTCCTCATGCTGCGCCCGGGCGGTCTGCCCTCATGGACGCCCGGGCAAAGCTGCAGCCACCTGAGGCTCTCTGCAGACCGCTCGGGCGGCTGCAGCATGAAGGTCATGGAAGCCCCACCCTGGTGGCACCCGGGGCGGACCGCCCCCTCCGCCCCCCCTTAGTATGCCACTGTGCAAGATAACAATATATACAAAAAATAGTGCCTACATAACCCAAAAGTGCCACCCCCAGGTAATCAAATCTAGAAGCAGGATCAGATGTGCAGTACATTTCCATCACTCTGGCATGTTTGATGATTCCAATCACTTCCTGGATCGGCAAAAATGTGCGTGATAAAGTCATCACATTAAAAAAAAAAAGGAAATAAAACGTTTTTTTAAGTCTGGAAATAATAGCAAGACAGCAATTTAAGCTATCAAAACAACACACAAACATCAGCAAGTGATGGAGAAAACACACTTATGACCATCAAAGTAATTAAAGTAACATTCATTACTATAATAAACAAATACTTGAGCACATATACATTCCTAAAGCATGTTTATAAGGATAAAACTACATTTCCTGACCATTATTCATGGCAGCATTTACTCATGGGTTAGCTCCGCCCCTTACACCAGAAAGGACAGGAAATAGAACTTTGAAACTGGTATAAATAGATCCTCCCCCTTCCCATCAGGCAGTCCTTTTTTTCCTGTCCTTCACAGCAGTTTGGAAGGAGTCTGCTCATGCAGGCCTAGATTTTTTTATTTTATGCTCACCAGGCAATATTTTTTAGGCCCTGCCAGGGTTCAGCCTCTAATCCCTGAAGACCCAGCAAAATGCACTAAGATGAAGTGGCTAGCCTGGGTACCCCCTTTAGTGACCGGGGGTCGGACCCAACCTCTCCCTGAAAGGGATGACAATGGTCCACTGCATGCCAGGGTTCAGTCTCTTATCCCTGAAGACCCAGCAACAGGCCAGCTTGGGTACCCCCTCAGGGGATGTATGTGATATACTGCCTACATGAAGCCAGGCCAGGGTTCAGCCTCTTATCCCTGAAGACCCAGCAAACAGCATATCGGTAAGAGATGTCAGCCTGGGTTCCTACTTCAGCAACCAGGGGTCTGTCCTATCTCTCCCTGTGGGGATGACAGCAGTACACTGCATACATGAGGCCCAGTTGAGTCTAAGCCCTTATCCCTGAAGACCCAGCAAACAGCACACGTGTAAGAGTTGCCAGCCCGGGTACCTCCTTCAGCATTCAGGAGTCTAACCTATCTCTCTCCCTGAGGGGATGACAGCGGTACATTGCATTCATGAGGCCCAACAGAGTTGTTACTACCGGGGTATACCTATTCTATGTATTCCACCTTGTATGGTGATGATGAATGGCATATGGGGCACAGATGGAAGCCTATAGTTTAAACAGTTTAGGCTGTCAGTTGTTCAAATCCCCATTTTGCCGCTGAAACACAGGCCTGCAACGGTTCAGGTAAGTGCATTAGTAATTTAGATTAAAACTAGTATAGGCACCTGGGTCTCTGTTCTTTCAGTCCCTCCCAGCTGCTTACATTAGGCTTCCTTCTAAAAAATAGGTCACATTTAGGAGATTTGTGTGGTGAACATTTAGGTAAGTTTATAAGGATGTTTGGTGCAAAAGAGTGCTGATAATACAAGTATGCATTGGGCATAGTAGTGCTGATAATGCAAGGAGGCATTGTGCAAAGGAGTGCTGATAATGCAATGAGACACTGTGAAAAAGAGTGCTAATAATGGATATCCTGGCTGTATAAAGTCTGCTGGAATTCCACAGCCTGAAGACAGAGAAATATCCAAGGTAAGAGAACCTTCTTGGGTGTCTGATTAAGGTACACACATGTATATGACAGGTTTTAAAAACCTAAAGTCCACAC